TTATGAACTGACTTTGAAATTCTGTGAAAAACAAAGTTTAATGAATCAGAAAGTTGCATGTTTTGGATAAAAGGTTTGGGTTCAGCCTGACGTTTTCTGCACCTGACAACTGAGTTCAGAAGATTCTGTTAAATAATTGGCTTTTAAAGAGTTGTTTGTCACTTTAAATGAATGTCAATAAAAATGAAAAGTAACATGCAAGGTTACATACAGATGTTCTCTTTAGTATGATGTCATTATAAATTTAAGCCCATGTTTTCATATTTTATATTTTCAATAAAAAAAAACATTTCCCCATTCAGCCATTAGGGGCATTATTGTGAGTTACGCTTTCCTTTAAATCATGTTTTAGGAAGTAATGAATAGTAAGATTTATATTGAAGTACCTGATGACGAGACAAACATCCTTGTTGATTGTTAAGAATTTATTTAAGAAAAAATGGTTAAATGGCATAGGGGGGTATTTATCACTCCGACGGGTTTCCTTTATATATCAAATCAATGATACCACAAACCCCAGGCCTCTGTCTGTGTTGAGTCACTAACAACTGTTAGGAGGAAACAGGCATTAATAATTAATAAATACGTTTTCAAATCATCTACCACAAAAAAGACTTTCAACAGAAATAATTTTTCAAGTTTTGTTTTGATTGGTGTACCATCTGTAATATTTTTTGTTGGTATCATGCAGATTTTGTGGTAGTCTTAAAAGGTTTGAACTCAACTAAAGTCATGATTGGCTAATGATTTTAAAATGCGGGTATCAAGTTATGGTACTTAATTATTTTACCAAATGCAAAGTCTACATTTTGTTTGATTATGAATTATAACCAAAGCCTTAAATAATCCATCAAAGTACAAAAACAACAGGAAAGTTAGGATGACCGAGTTCAAAAAGATTTAAAATAATCCAAGTCAAAGGCCTTTTGCAATTTATTTTTTATCTGTTGAGGAGTTTGTTTCATCAGTAAATGTCAGCACTCAAATTAATATATCATGCTAGTTTTGATTATTTCATGCCATTTCTTAATTAAATTTTTAAAAATTGTTGATTTTATTTCATTTTGGTACAATATAAAGCATTGCCTCCATACTGTCCTAATTTGTTTTTTTTAAATCGTACAATTTTTCACATAATTTTGAATTTTAGAAAATGACTGTCATGGCAATTTATTTAAAGACAAACACTTGAAAAACATTGACAAATGCCCCTGTCCAAGCTGTAAAGTGGTGTTTGGTAAAAACCTGTATGTTAGACAAGATTGTCTAATGATACGTCACACTTTCACAGTTACACATTTAGGTGGAATTCATGATTTAAATCTTTGGTAAGCATGCTGATCAAACACAAACTCCTTTGCTTGTGTGGTATCACAACAGGACATCAAATTGATGCAAAATGAATCATTTGAAAACAAAAGGGGCATTATCTGTTAAGCACGAACAAAGTTTGTCTCAGATATTAAGATAAGACTTGATAAAATGCAATTAAAAGATTCAGTTTTTTTAGCATTTTAGCAATTAGCACCATCAGTATTGGTGAAACATTTTAATAAAAGTTCAATTAACTCTAAAAGTTCACCTCTGATGTTGGACAAAGTAACATTTGTATCAGAAGCAAATATTATTATTTTATGATTCTTGTGTGCAATTGACTAACCCAACTGGTTACATTGAATATATTTGCAGTTTTTTTCTCATGCGGGATTTTCCCATTTGCAGTTTTTCATTTAATACATAGATGTATGCCTGAAAATAAAATTTCAACTTTATAAATGATTGGTGAGAGTGGTGAAGTCGTTTTCAGTCAGGACTGGTTTAAAATCTTTCTTTTCATCAAAGAACACCTTTCTAACGATGCTCACATTTTAGTTTTGACTTCTTTGTTGTATTTTTAAATCCTTACAGAATGTAACTCATCAAGCAAAATGACAAAGAGAATCCATGGTTTAAGGCACGGCATTTATCATATAATGACAAACATGAATATCTTAATTCAAGAAAACATCTCATCATTTTTTATCATATACAATATATCATATATGACATGATATAATTCACGCTGTTCTCTATATAAAAACCTACATTTTATTTAAAGAGGAAAGAGTCAGAAGGCAGAAAATGGATTTATTTATTTTAATAACGCTTAGTTGTTAATATGATTGTTCAACATAGAACATGTATATACATGTATTTATAAATACGTTTTAGGATGAGACAAAATTTTATTGATGAAGCTGTTGTTGTGATGGTACAATGATTCACCTTTCTAATAACCATCAGTGGGCTACTGTTACGCCCTCTATAGAACCTGTTATATCCTCTATAGAAACTATATTAAATAGCAGACGCCACCCTAGAATATGCCATCTATAAAACTTTATCAACATATAATTGCAGATTAAAATAACAAGATATATTGAATTTTAGTAGATTTATTCCATCTATTAAATAAATAGAAAATATAATTACATCATTTGACTTCGAACCGATTGGTAAATCATCTTGTTAAGTGACACTATAATTACATCATTTTAGTTCACATAGTTTACAGGTCTATGAAACTTACTTTTGGTATACATTTATCACGATTTCAAAAAATCAACCCAACCATTGTTCAAACTAGGTTAAAAAACATTCAGTTAAATCTAGGATTAATCTTGTTTTTTAGTCTTGAGAATATTCAAGGATAAGTTTACAAAAAATAACCATGCCTGACCCCCCCCCCCCCCCAATAACCTAGTCAACGAAACACAGATTTTGCATAAGGGCAAATTCCTTTGAACAGAAATAGGGTAGTCTAAAAAAATATTTTCACTTAATACTGGACAACTTGGGTCTTTCAGTTTTGTAAATTCTGTTAATTCAAATTCTCTGTAAAGATTTGGCTAAATTTCAACATTAATGATAGAAATCTCTATATTTCATTCTTGATTCATTCTTTACCCCTCCAAACAAAATAAAATTACAAGTTGTAATTTGAGAAGAACAGTTTCAGAGATCTTGCAATCATACATAGATGTGTTGATTGGAGGTTCTCAGTACAAGAATTTTTTATCACTGCTTGCTGACTTGTTTCATCAGTTATCAATCAACATTATGCGCAACACAATATGTCAACAACATTAACAATGAATTTTGAAAATATTCTGCAATAACGCCATTAACATTACTCTGGGCAACGATGGGATAATGGTCTTTGAAGAAAGATATAATATTAAATAAGTATTTAGTATTAAACTTATTAAATCTTTTAATTCAGAGACAAGAAGACAAAATTACTTACAGCCTTTAAATTATAATATTAACATTCCTTTTTACTATAAATTGTTGACCTTATATATATGTACAGCATTGTGTGGATAGAAAAGTATAAAATAGGTCAGTAAATGATTGCCAAACTAGAAGAATCACTTGAACAATCCAACTGCCAGTGATAACATGTATACCATATTGGTTCATGTTACATGTACAATTACATTAATTTGGCATTGTTAAACTAATTTCTTACCCTTTTTGCTAGTTCATTTCTATATAAATTCTCAGCTCAGTGAAATAAAATTGTCATATTAAAGGTGTAAATTGCAAATATTCTGCCTTATAGTACTATTGGTACTATAATGTAGCATTGCAATAGTATTCATTTTTACGTCTTCATTACAGTACGGTACTCAATGAGGTATACATGTACAGTAAAACCTGTCTAAGTGGAACACCTTTGGTACCTCTACGAAGTGTTCCACTAGATTTAACATTAAGTCCATTGGTCTTAGGACTTTGAAGTGTTCCACCAACAGAGATCTTCCACTTCTAGAAGTGTTCCACTTTACAGGTTTCAATGTATATTTACAAATGTGACATCTTTAATAAGTTAATTTTATATAAAAGGCAAGAGCTATACACCACGAAGTTCCATGATCCTCTCATTCTAACAAAATAACATTAAATGCATACTACTTGTGCTTGCAGCTTAGTTACTTTCCTATATAGTCCCATATAGGATATAAAATCATGAAATACATGTATTGTATTACTTTCCTATATAGTCCCATATAGGATATAAAAACATAAAATACATGTATTGTTTTAGAAAATTACATGAATTGTTAGGATATAATAACATAAAACATTAGTTTTTACAATTACATGATTGCTATGTTATAATAGAGAAAACTTGGTTGAAAACGAGTTAACAACCAAACCTAGTCATCCTTCATGAGTATGAAGCTACAAAGCTTTTTTGTATAATTTGTTTGACTTTACTTTTGTCTTATAACAGCAATTGAGAAACTAAACTATGTTCTGAAGCATTCTAAAAGATGGATGCTTCTTTGTGGCATTGAAGTTAAGTCAGGCTAAGACTCTGCATTAACTAAATCACCTCCTTATTTGGCAATATTCACTCTTGAAAGGAGAGGTTTTTATGGAACAAAGATGATCTTATCTATACTAAACAAAGTCTGAATACTTGCCTTCTTTCCTCGGCAGGTATTCACAAGGACACAATACAGGAAAGAGTGGCGTACAATTAATACATTTTTACACAAAATGCACCATATATTTTTATTTCTACTACAGTACTCTTAAAAATCAAGCCACCATTTAAATTTAAATTCTTCTATCCTCAAAAATGGAGCCACCATTCATGCACGTATGTTTTTCTAGTTCTTGTATATTTCTTCTTTGGTCCTGGCTATTTAATGTTTCCTTATATGACACACATGTACTATCTACTATTCAATGAGTACCTGATATATTGTATAAATATACATCTTTCTTTTCCTCTTAAATAGTACATGTTTATATAGTATAGAGAGTGAACTGTCCCTTTTTCCTCTCATTCCATTATACAAGTACAGAAATACAGCAAACAAGGGCAAGCAGTGATCTCCCAACATCAGGTACTGAACTTTGTTTGAAATTTGAAAATTCATACTCCACCTTGTCAAAAATCTGTTTGCACCACATCAAAACAAGGTATTAACATGCAAAAATGTCCCACCTGCCATTTATTACAGATACTGACTGCAAAACACCAACAACCGCAAAAAAAAGTATAAGAGTATGTCATCACTTTCTGAGGTTGTCATAGTTATGAAATGTTGGGATATTTTGACAAAAACAAGTAAAATTAGGGATTAAGCACCCTGATGAGAATATGATGGGAAGATCACAAGAGAGCACAAAGCTAGTACTTTTGGAACATTCCATACAAAACAGTCACTTGGCAACATACTTGAGAAGAGTATGTACATAAATTGCACCATTTGTTCAAGATTCTATATCAACTAGATCACTGTTAAGTTTGTCAGATCCATCCCCAGATCCCAAGGTCGATCCCAGACAGGGTATAGTGTAGTCCAGATATTTCTTCATGCCTATGGTAAGCATTTGGACAAGCCTTTGCTTGGCTTAGAAATATAACAACAATGAAATATCAATGGTGGAGGCAAACTTTTACAGAAAATCATTCATTCAGATTTTTTATCTGCGGAAATAAACTGCAATAGTTGCATTATATCCCATTTAGCTTAATTTTTCCTGCCCTATTTTTAAATCCTGGCTACACACTAGCAACTTCTACAAATTTTGCACCTCTTAATACAGAATATACAATTAACAATAGACAGTCCACTACTTGTCAAATATAGTTGATTGAAAAAGTATCAACAGTTCTATGACCTCCTTCTCAAACTTAACGGCAGTGAGACTAGTGATTGGGTCAGTGTCTATTGATCTCAGCAATGTTGGTGCAAAAACTGTAGCCAAATTTTCTGCATTCATCATATTGCTTTTACATTTATCAGTCACCCTGTAAATACAATATAGAATTATGACAACTAGTTGGTATTGGATCTTGGGTATATTATGATTTATTTTGATTTTGAATTTGCTTTCTGATAAAATGTTTGAACAATAAGTACCCCAGGATTGTGGGATGAGAGAAAATAGAGTTCTTTTGGGTCTTCTTGTATGCTATATTTTTAGACCTGTATCACATGTATTATATCGATTCAACAATTTTTTGAAGGAAAATCTTATTGCTGAAAAAGTGTTAACTTTTCAGAAGCTCTTTTACTTTACTCATACTTTGAAGCTCTTATATCTTCACTGTATCTCAGTAGTCTACCCTCCCAGCATTTGTGTAATTTAAACTTTACCTGTGAAGATGTGCCATAAGATACTTGAGTGTGTGGTAGTGAGCTGGGGGTAGTTGATTCACTGCATCACGTAACAGCTTTGATTTCCCCTCATCACTCATGTTGTTAGCATCTGTAGCTGCAATTGTAGGTAAATATAGCTTTATAAACATCATTATACACTCCTCCCTGTTTACATGTATGTGTGTGCGATTTCATTGAAATTTTATATCTGCTTATTTAGAAGCATATTACACTTTCAGATGACAATATTTGGCTATTAAGCGGCCATTTTGAAAAATGAAGATCATTTTTATGTGTGTTATTTTATGATTTTTGATGAAACTGAAAAAGTAGTGGAGGGATTTTGTGAAGATTTTCTCGACGGACAGATTTTTAGATCTAAATTTTCCGGGACATTCAAGGGCTTTGCGAGATCCTGCAAATAGGCCAAATTTTGATCGAATTTGCTGGACAATCACGCTAATTGCGGGATGGTTGACACGTCTGTTAGAAGCTGGTTGGAAGTCCCATGGGGTTACATAACACATATAAATCGTATACGCAAGTTATACTCACTGACTGCCTCTATGAACATGGGATATTCTGCAAATGTTATAAGTGGGATTGGGAGGAGACGGAAGTAAAGCTTCAAGACACTTGTAATTGTATTGTGATCCTCATATCTCCCTCTTGATATATCTGCCTGGTCACCATCTAGAAATAAGAGAATGATAGTCCATGTACATGATTCCAGTATTAAGACTTTGGACAACCGTCGTATGTCATTAGATGAATGTGGATGAATTAAGCAGTTCAAAAATCTAGATTAATTGTTAAATTATTAAGCCTAATTTGACTTGGGAAAACAGTTGAGTTGGTTACCATTAAAATTTCCATTGGGCGGAAAAAGTATATTAGCTAGCCTATATATAGAAAGTTATGTGTGTCATCAATCAAACACATAACATAATCATAACAAAGCACAAGCCAAAATTACAAAAGTGAAACCATTTGTTTCGGACACTGACTTCCAAATACTGTTACAGACACCATTCAATGGTCACAAAAATGGTGGCTTAAACGATAATTCACTACTTCTTCATGCTGATGTAAAAACATAAATTCTAACATAAAACATATAAGTCAAAGATAAGTGCAGTTTGTATGCCTATGTCAATAATCTGCAAAAGGCTAATAACCCCATATTAAGCAGATATATAATTCAACAGTGATAAAATTTGAAAGGAATATAATTTAAAACATTAACATTTAAAAATAGATGTATGGTTTACAACTCATTTAAAATTGTAAGGAGACTCCCTGGTTGGCCCATGTACCCCCCTAGGAATTCCCTTTATGTTGGAATACTGCCAGGCTACTGCGTTGACATTGCCCCTCTTTACCAGTGGTGCAGGCTTGTTGCTGTGCACTGGGGACCATTTACATGAAAACATGGACGTGAAATGAGTTGAGTGCTCTGGATAAAAATAGATCTATATTAAGAACTATTTAATTGCTGCTATTGACATAGGCATAGTATGATGATTTAAAACTATTTAGACTGTCACAGTCTAAGATGTCACCTGGTAGAGTGTTCCATTTAGCTATTGTCCTAGGGAAATAGCTAAATTTGTATGCATAGTTCTAGTTGATGGTGTATATACTTAGAAGGATGATGTATATGTTGTGTATTGTGACAATGTACCATAGAACATTACATGGCTACATAGACACATGGTGAAAAAACACAAAGGACCACATGACTCAAAAAAGCGGAAACTGTATATAAAATTCCCGATACCAATTAAAAATTGTACAATTAAGTTCAATCAACCTATGAAATGATAATAATTGATTTCCTGGGGAACCTTATTTTAAGATTTACCTAATGTTTATTGATTGCTACAGTATTACATTATGAAATTACAAATATTTAGACTTGTGTATGACTGTATGTATCAATGTTGTGCCTCCCACTTGTAACATACTGTATAATGCTATGTATTATACAATGCTATACATTGCTGTATGCAATAACATATAATACTGTATACAATGAAGCTCTGGGTAAGTGCTCTGGGTAAGCTGTTTCCTCCTGTTCGCCAGTTTTTCTGACATAGAAAAAAATGACTGTTTGATGAGTAGGGCAAAATATGACTTAAATACACTTCCTAAGAATTCAAATGTAAAATAATTGTTATCGTTTTTCTTTAAACTTATTCTTCGTAAACGTTCTGGAATGAATCAGGTATTGAATTACCAGAAGATTCACTTATACTGTAAAGCAGCCTTTGCAATAGTCTTGTCCTAAAAATTACCAATAGCTAAGTTGGCACCCACACCACAGTAAGCATACATATGTATGTAAAAAAAATGTACATGTATATTCAAATGTATCAGCTTGTACTGGTTAACAAACAGGAGAAAATCAACTTGATTACGATGAAAAAGCATATATGATACAGATCAGGATACCCACATACCAGTTAACCACATTACATTAGTTTACTTCGAGATACATACTATTTTTGAAGTTCAGATCTGGCATTGAATAAAAACACAAATACTCATATTACATGCTTTAAATAAAATAGAATGCAAAACCAAATAATGATAAAATATACTGTACTACCATTAATTTTCGCGCGCTACTATATTTCGTGCTTTTCGCGAGTTTTGGAAAATTCGCGAAATATAATAGCCGTGAAATTCCCCCAGTTTTAATTTGCGAAATTTGATAGGCGCAAAATTCCAAGGAAACTCCCGAGGATTTCAATGTTGACAATATTTTCATCCAGTGCTGGGCGATAATAGGTAAAAACGTGACATTTTGAGTTTTGAAAAAGAGAAATTAAAACAGAGATCATTATTACTGTATTAAAACGAACATTCTAACAAAAAGGCTTAATAAGAAGCCAAAATCATTGGGCGAAGGAACAACCATGGCTGATATGAAAGTAAAAAGATCCTGTATGACAAATTCGCGGAGATTAATACCCGCGAAATTTCAAAAAACTAAAGATTAGCGAAATATAATAGCCACAAAATTTCAAAGTACCAAAAATGCGAAATATAATAGCGTCAAATATTAGTGGGAGTACAGTATACACAATTGCAATCACATTCTAAAATGTCTGCTTAAAATAAATATAAACTCAATTCAAATAAAACAGCCTGGGTTAAACTGTTAAATGTATTGTACAGTACATGAGATTTATAAATGGAATAGATATAAATAAATAAGGACATTTGAAAATGAAATAAAGAGTAAAGAAGCAGAAGCCATTCCTTCGCCAACAAAGGTTAGAACTGTACCTTCTTTCTCATCTTATATTCAGTAAGGCATATGGTTTCCAATGGAGGGAGATGGACTCGAATCATTTTACCACAGAAGTGTTGGTAGAACAACTAGTCGAGAAGTTGACAGCAACTTGTATTTCACTGAAAGTTGACTTCAAAATTGAAAGTTGAAAGCGAATCCCCAGGGAAAATTGATGATGAAAAAAAAACAATTCAAACTTGCATTTTCATACATTCTTACATTTTGTTTTTTGATTTCTTTAAATCTAAGCACCTTAAAACAAAGCAATACATATCACTCTGTAATACTACACTATTAGGTAGTCTAAGAGTCTTATTAGTCTATAGAGTCGATAATGGCGGTTTCCAAACTCGCTACAGCATTACCCAAAATGAGGCTGTTAAGAACAACTATCAATGACGATAGAATTTGACGATACAATTTTGCCAGCACACGATTATGTCATAAAACAGGCAAAAAGTAATAAACAAAACATCTACAATGCTTCTTTTTATTTCCTTTTCAACTTTAAATTTACTGGACGATGCTGTTTAAACAATTTGATGATGACTTTGATATCTACTGTCAAACCAAACACCATGTTTTATTTTTTTAATTTTTCGTGAAAAGTCGGAGAAGTCGACTTCAACTCAAATTTTGTGCCTCTTCTAGTCGACTTTGTTTTCTACCACTACACACTACAGGAGTCGTACAACTTGAATTGATTATTTTCATTTGAATATTAGAACGTAATGTTAAGACCCGATTCAAGGTCTTTTATCCATGTTTCATTTGATAAATCAATCAGTTTTAGGTCATTAGTTATTATCTGGAGCCATCCATACTCCATATACCTCTAAATCTTTTCTTTGGTTAACTGTTACTTCATTTAGCATATTAGAATATTGAAGATAGGTTGGAAAAATAGAGTCCAGTCTTAACTTGTCCTGGCTACAAGACAATTGAAGGCATATTAGTTTGAACTTATTAGTTTGAACTAAAAATGAGAGCAAATCATAGAAGGAAGACACTACAAGACAAAAAAGAATTACTATTCTAGTATATCAGGGAGTAATACAGTATTATACATGGAAGGGAGGAGAATTGCTACCTCTGTCAAATGTCATCCTGATTGCCTCTACATCGTCATGGAAACCTGCCACTCTGTAAATACCTTCATGCTCCAGACCTACAAGTACAAGGTGATACATAATTATAAGTATGTGCTCAATATAGGCTGAACACATCTATGTGAAGCCATTGACACTTTTACAACAATAATACATTTAAGCCAAACTGTTCTATAAATAACACATTTTATGTGGATATGATAATATTGATGAACAATATAAAAACACATAATGGAGAACAGGGAGAGAAACCATGTGATGAAGAATAGGGAATAGGGAACTGAATGATGAAAAATAGATGGGAAACCTCATGATGAATTGTGAGTGAAAAATAGAGAAACCATGTGATCAACATTAGGAAAACCACATGAAGACTAGAGAAACCACATGAACAAGACAAGGCATTAACATGCAAAATGTTACAGTAATTTGTTACAGACGCTGACCACAGGCCAACGAACACCACCAACGAACACCAATCACTGAATACCGAACACCATCCACAAAAAATTGGAAACTATAACAGTGACATAACTAGATAATTGCCAGATAATCAGAGTAAAAATCACCTACCTCTAGATTCTATCTCTTTGATGCACTTCTCCACAACCAGTGGTACGACAACAGGGGTATTTTGGGCCTTTACAAGTGTCGTCAAGTCAATCCCAAATATCTTACGTAAATACTTCATGGCTGGCATACAATCATTGGGGACCTTCTCAGAACACTTCTTATGTGCATTAAAACCACAATCTGAAATTAAGAGCTCTTCATTATCGAAGGTTCAATCACAAAATATGTTTATATTTTTGGCATATTGTTTTAAATATTCCTGATCATTAGAGTCTAAGACTGTATCCGTATCAAAATATGTGTTTGTTTTTAATAAAATTTGAATCTCATTCATATCTGTTGAAGTTTGTCATCTATCTCTGTGAAAGTATATGGAATTTTCACCATGATCCAAAAGTTATATAACCGGATCACTTATATGTACATTAGTAGTACATATACAGTGATCATTACTCACCTTGGCATTTTACACCTTGTTGTATAAGTCCCCACAGAAAGTTTGCACAAAAATCACACCAATGTGGGCCTTTAAATGTGTATGTCTAAAACAAGAAACTATATAAATTTACACTTGACTAATGCACTTTTTGGTAGTACTCAGAGACATAACACTTGAATCATAAGCTGTATATGCTAAAATACTCAAATTGTATCAATATTAGATAATGACATGTTGATTAGTTAATGAAGTTAATTGATAACAATAGTGCCATAAAAATATTCCCTTACCTTGAATATGTGTGGTTTCTCAGACTGCATTACTTCCAATACATCTAATGTACCAGCAATAGTCCCAATGCCCTAAAAACAATTCAAAACTTAATTTACAAAATTGATAAATTTCCCAGGTGAATACACATGGGGGATGTTTTCATTTGCCAGCATTTCTCTTTTTTGAAGTCAGTTTTATAATGACATTCCAAATCAAAATCCCAACACATTTCAGACCAAACACATTTTTATCCTAAAATAACATGCTCAATGGTTACATGTACATGTATATGATTTGAGCATACTTTCCATTTAGTTTTTCCATTTAATGTATCTTTTCAGTTTGTGGTCCATCTTTTCTCAGAATTCTACAATTCATTTTAGTCATGTTTGAAGAAATTCTAAAACAATCTCTACAATGTGCTACTCAGTTTGCATCGCCAAATGTTATCAGATGTAGCATAAAGTATGATGGCTTTTATGAGAGGCTTTGCATTTGGATACTAGCAGTGATATTATACCTACAGAAAGATATTGCATCTACAGGATGATACTGTACCCACAGGGCAATAGTGTATCTACAGTATGATACTGTACCCACAGGGCAATAGTGTATCTACAGGATGATACTGTACCCACAGGGTAATAGTGTATCTACAGGATGATACTGTACACACAGGGTAATAGTGTATCTACAGGATGATACTGTACCCACAGGGTAATAGTGTATCTACAGGATGATACTGTACCCACAGGGCAATAGTGTATCTACAGGATGATACTGTACCCACAGGGTAATAGTGTATCTACAGGATGATACTGTACCCACAGGGTAATAGTGTATCTACAGGATGATACTGTACCCACAGGGCAATAGTGTATCTACAGGATGATACTGTACCCACAGGGTAATAGTGTATCTACAGGATGATACTGTACCCACTGGGCAATAGTGTATCTACAGGATGATACTGTACCCACAGGGTAATAGTGTATCTACAGGATGATACTGTACCCATAGGGCAATAGTGTATCTACAGGATGATACTGTACCCATAGGGCAATAGTGTATCTACAGGATGTTACTGTACCCATAGGGCAATAGTGTATCTACAGGATGATACTGTACCCACAGGGTAATAGTGTATCTACAGGATGATACTGTACCCATAGGGCAATAGTGTATCTACAGGATGTTACTGTACCCATAGGGTGATATTGTATCTACAGGATGATACTGTACCCAAGGGGTAATAGTGTATCTAAAGGATCATACAGTACCCACAGGGTGATATTGTATCTACAGGATGATATTGTACCCAAAGGGTGATATTGTATCTACAGGATGATATTGTAATGACATTATACCTATATGATATGATTGTACCTAAAGGATGATATTGCACCTACAAGATAATGCACACAGAACGATGTTGTGTCTAAATGATGATATCTTACCTATGAGACATTCTTGTATGTATAGGATGATGTTTTTCTGACAGGATATACTTACATCAATTGCATCTGCCTGGTCATCAACCCGGTGGCAAGTATTTTCATCTTCATCAAACCTAACGTGACCATTATCCTCAAAATTATCTCCACCACTATCACTTTCCATTACAAAGTTCTCATTTTCCACTCTTTTCTGGATACTTTGGTTGTTATCTTGATAATCACCTCCCCGTGTATAGCTACTATGACCACTATAGTTGCTACGGTAACTTTGTGAACTAGGGGTCCTGGTGTGCCCCAATAATTTACGACTAGAATAATGAGCCATATATGGAGACTCTTCATAGTTAGATTGGCTATCAATGGCTGCAATGTAATCAGCAGCTTTAAGTTCCAAGTAAAATGTGATAAGACCATCAGCAACAAGATCGTGAATTGTGTCAAATCTTTTCTCTCCAACATAGTGTTGACCATCATAATATAGCTTGAAATTCTTTGTAGCGCCATTAAATCTAAAATAAGATAAAAATAAAAAATATAAATTCAGAATGACTGATATGACAAATTCACTGTACATTTGTGAGATTTTATAACATATGTAATTCACCATTATTTAAGATACTAGTATCATAAAATGAATTATTTCACATGATACTTGGTACTGGAACAAATCCATCAACCTATAGTAACCTATTTCTCTTTTTTAACAGGAAATGTCAAAGGGAGATGACTGAATTCAAGATTGTCTTAGATGATAGCACCCTATCCCTATGAAAATGTTTGCATCAATCACATTAATAAATGATTGCATTAAGTACCTTAAAGCTAGAGTATATGTTCCAGGAGCCCGCTGGCTTTCTCGCACAAGGTAACAACCATCACAGATGTTCAACAGTCTGTCTGCAGTCTCCCTGGATATTGCACCATGGAACCTATGGGCAAAACATAATTATGTAGGGGTAAAACAAACTAAACAAGGGGTTAATATGCAAAATGTCACTACCTGCCATTTGTTACTTACACTGAAAACACCGACCACCAGATACCAACTGCTGTCACAAAAAAGTTTCAGACCATTTTTCATCTAATATACATGTAGAGTTAACACTATACATGAAACAAAACTAAATTATATAAAAAATAACTTACTCTCTGCCATAATACATGGGCTTGCCAGGAATCTGAAAACACAAAAATATTCCTATATAAAGCACAGGAACCAAATACTAAGTATACACATGAATATACAAGTATATATATGTGCATTCTTCTGATTCTGACCTGATAACAGAAATGACATACTCTTTTAGTTCACAATACAATTGACCATTTAAAGAAATGAGACATTAAGGATTATGCACAAATGTCAAAAGTTGTTTTGGGACAAGTTAAGTTTGCTAACTGTATACGACAATTTTATTAGTGAAAAATGTTGAATTTTGAAAAGTTTCAAGTGAAAGGTTAATCAAAATTTTCAGGGAAAAGAGGGGAGGGGTTCAACCATAATGATTTTAACTGCATTTTTCCACAACTGTTAACAATCGACACTATCCCAAAATACACTAGAATATGACAAAAGGAATGCTTGTATATCAAGGTGTTGAATATCAACAACATGGTATGAGTAAGCATGCAGTACATGTATTTCAATGCAACATATAAAATAGGTCTTACCTCTTTTTGACACACAATTCGCTTAGGTTTTGGTGACTGCTGTTGTAGATGATACACTAAAAAATATATATAAAAAGAACATTGTTTGACACTGAGCGAAAGACCAACCTATTTTAAACACTTTTTTATATCCACCACTTTATAAGTATAATTTACTGTAAAACGGGTATTGTTAGCGAGGGGTAATTGTTAGCGATCGCTATAGTTTCGCTAAAAATTCAATTCGCTAAAATAAACTGGGGTTAAAATAAACCGGGCGCTAAAATTTGCAAATTCCCGGGAAACTACGTGAATACTAGTATTTAAGGAGCTTTTCGTTCAGTGCTCGACTTCCGGTTTGTAATTTGAAAAAGGTAAATATTTTTAAAGTCGTATGTTTCTTTCAATATTTTAAATGCTACTGTGATTTTGTGATTAGTCAGATGAGATTACAGTAGTTTGGACCAATACCATGTGCGTTAGACGTCTTACATTTTGATAATTCCTCTGTCATGCCCGTTATTCATTCTTCTGCCATAAATGATAAAATTTCTAATGCATTTCACTAATTTGATTTTTCAAAGATTAATCTTCATTTCGCTAAAATTTCCCGCGCTAAAACCCCCTAAAATTGAATGAAGGACCCACGGTCCTATGCTCACACAGTTTGGAACCTTCAGAGGAATTTATATCCTGACTTTCAAACAAAAATATTGATTTGGATTTGTAGTCTCGAACTTTGAGAAACTTAGATAGCATAGTTGTGTGACCTAGTTTGATGACCTTTGACCTTGAAAATTTTACTTATTCAAAGCTCAGTAAGGTCTTTTGTGATTAAGCTGACCAAAATTTACATCCAACAATCAATTTGAAAAATCAACTTTTTTGACCTTTCGAAGGTCACTGAAGGTCAAGTAAAGGTCAAATCCTAAAACTAATGTCAGATTTGAACTCCTGGTAACTTGTAGATGATTTTCAAAAAAGAATTTGGTCAAATTGAAGCAAGTTGAAAAATAACTTATTTTTAATGTTTTTTGACGTCACTCAAATATCTCAAAAACTGTAAAAATTTGATGCTGACATATATTGAAAAATATGTAGGGAATGCTTAAATCTATTAATGATGTAATTTATTGCAGGAAATGATCAAGTATAAGGCAAACTTTAAGAATCTTGTCAATCACAAAACCTGCCATTGACTTTATACATGAGAAAGTTTCCTGAAAATAACTAAGTCCTACTTTTTTTCAAATTTTACAGAGTAAACACCAAAAACCGTAATTCCAAGAGCTTTGAAATCTTCAGAGGACATAAGTTGCATATACACCAACTACTAAAAGGTATTTGAAAGTTCTACTTCAACAAAGTGTCTAGTATTTACAGAAAATTTGACTTTTTGACGTCAAAATCCGCAATTTCTCGGAAACCGGGCGAACTTGGGAAATGGCGATGATAGGTCAAATAGGCATTATGGATATGCATAAAATGAATGTGGATAGGACTCAATCCGAATAGCAGTTTTAATTTGTGCGGCCAATGTTGACGGACGGACCAACGGACGGACGGACGGACCAATGGATGGACGGACGGACCAACGGACGGACGGACGCCTGGTCAATCCCATAGGCTCACTGTGTGAGCCAAAAATCGCTAAAATTTCCCGGTGTCAAAATTACCCGTTTTACAGTATATCATACTCAAAATGGCAGAATTATTAACATAATGTTGAACTTAATTTATCAAGTCACTGTCACTGCATCCCCTCTCGATATCAATTCAACAACATGTATTGAAGGGGAAGAATTTAAGGGATTTTGACATTTTATTTGTATAACTGACATGATAGGTTTGCTCAAAATTGAAGTTCAAAAAATGAACAAATTAGAGGTATGTTGAAAAATTAGAGCCCCTTCTTAAAAATAAGAGCCTCATAAAAGCGGGTTATAAGCCTGTATCAAGGCAAGACCCATCAAAATATGATAGAGTTAGCACTTACAATAAGACTTCCATACTGGCAGCTCTCTTGAAGATTCAGTTCTGTTAGGATTGTAGGAACCTGAAATACAGTACAATATTTGTAAATTTCTGGATACTCCTAGCTAGAAAAGGTTCTTAATAATTTCTAATGTGGTTATCAATACCATGCACTGTACGAGTTTACTCTCAGCATCACTATAAATATTGCCGGGCAATCCATTCTATTAAGCGAGGATTTGAATCAATTAACTTTGGGTCCCACAGTGTTTCCTCCTATCAGCAATCATAAGGGACTGAACCATGTGGAACTAAGTAACTTGTTATATGCCATTAAATATGGACTTAAAAGGTGGTTCGGGTCTTATTAAAAATGTGATGGTGTATGTGTGAACTGTTAAGTCTGGTGAAGTCTGATGGAGACTACATGTACTACCGACTGCCTGACTGGGGAATGAGCTTCCATGGTAACAGAGGCCTTCGCGCATGACATCACACGTTCTTAGGGGATTTCACTGGACTCAACAGAACTCGATCAAACTTGACAGGACTTCATCGGACTCAACAGACCTCAGGAGGACATATTAGTCTACTGTGCAAGGGACTTTTCGGTCTTTTCAGGTCTCTGGAGTACTCAATATGTCTGTTAAAAAGACCTGTCAGTGAAAATTGGCCTTTAGGGAACTCAGGTTTTTTATTTATATACATGTATACATATTATTTCTTGATCTATAACGATTTCAATGACTAATTTATCAATGCGGAAACACTCTGCCTGACATCTGCGAAATGTGTTATTGTTTGTAAAATCAAAAAATACAACGGACACATTAGCGACTTACAAATCTTACAAAAACAAAAGGCTGTCTTGCAGCATTATAGCGCATAAAAGGATACAAACAAGCCAAACAAACAAACAATGTCTTGGAAAGTGTATGAGGTTTCTCTTGAAGGCCCATGGATTAATTATTTTGATTTATCAAAGTCTTTTATTATAACTGGAAAGAATATTGCATCGCTAGTCCAGTAGACTTTTGTATGAAAACAGTGAAAGGAAACATTCAGTTTGAATGGCTGACTGAAAAAATACTGACACTTTAGTCCTACCTGAAATATAAGTCGCCATTTTGATCCACTTTTAGTCCACTTAGGTAGTCTTAAGTTTGTCGAATATTAATTCGAACTGCTTCCTAACCACAGACCTAATCAAACAGTCGCTTTTGAAGTCATTTCCTCGGGAAATTTTTGTCCAGATTTTACTTCCTGGTTTGATAAAACTACGGAGTGAATATAATGTGACACGCCACAAATTGGTTTGATCTAGTTTGCAAATAAACAAAACAAACTTGAGTTATCATATACTACTACTTATCAAATTGTCTTATGGTGTACAGGAGTTATCATCGTCAATGAGCACACAGCCAGTCTCCCATTACACAGAAGGACAAGTGGCAAGAAAAACGTGAACAGTTTAAATTGCAACTTGAAAGTGAAAAACTGCAAAAATGATTTACAAGTTTTTCACAGTCTTTACTCTGACTGCATTGCTGTTGTTATCATATGCCTTTTGCCAGAAGATTGCACTTAATGGTGAATGGAAGCTTGTCAATTCCAATGGAAGTGAGTATTGTTGGTTTTTCTCACTGTTTGATTCGAACTCCCGTGCAGTGATACATCACTGCGGCGGGCAGGTGTCTCACCGTAAGCATGGTAACATCGTAATAAACAACTGACGTGATTGGTTCTAGTCCCATGCTCAGGTCGCGTGATTGTAAAATGTAGACAATTTCATTGGTTGAATTGCGCGTATTAACTAATAAACAACACGTGCGGTAAACTTTTATCAACACAACTTTTACTCAGAATTCCTTCCGCGGGGATTTGCTCTTATATTTCATTGATTTTGGAATATTTTGACAAAATAATTATTGGTGAACATAAAAGAACATTTATTTTATAAGTTGTGTGAAAAACAAGTACATCTGTGACAAAAAGGGGGACTATCTTCCCCAAATTTTGGGGATTCCATAATCTGCCCGCCGCAGTGTCTATACCGAGACACTGCATAGGAGTTCGTGTTTGATTTTGTCATGACAGCTGGATCTTACTTAGTTTGCACAAAGCTATCTCTCTAAAAGATGGGAGACCCTATCTGTTGCAAGACTAACGCCTGGCGTAACCGTCACCATGTTATTCAGTGTTTTTTAAGTAGCGCAAGGATCCTGCCATGACCGTGGTAATGTTATCGTGAAAGCCTGTATAACCGCGACAATGCTGTATTATATTGCAATGCCTGCCATGACCGTGACAATGTAATATAGTATTGTAAGTTCAGGTATGAGAGTGGTAATGTAGAAATTTACGATTAGGACTGCTATAACCGTGACAATGTGTATTGCAAAGCCTGGCATGACCATGGCAATGTAATATAGTATTGCAAGGCTTGGTATGACCGCCATGGCAATGTGATATAGTATTCCAAGTTTGGGTATGAGAGTGGTAATGTAGAAATTTATGATTGCTATAATTGACCGTGACAATGTGTATTTGAAAACCTGGCATGACCATGACAATGTATTATGGGATCGCAAAGCCTGGTATAACCGTGACAATGTAATATTATAGTATTGCAAGGCCAGGTATGAGGGTGGTAATGTAGAGATTTAGGCTTAGTTCTACTATGACCGTTATAATGTATTGCAATGACTAGTAAATATGTAGGACATTAATGCCAGGAATATCCTTAACAATTTTAAGTGATCCTCATTACAATTAAACAGTTTGATACTATGATCATGGTGTTTAACTACCTTAATCATGTCAAAATCAAAATTACTCCTATACATTAATATTCACATTCGCTTATAAACCACAATAAAGGCTACGGTCGCGCCAGGCTTCCACGATGACACTTCCAGGGTCATGACAGGCCTTGCAATAGAATACAGCATTGTCACGGTTATACCAGCCTGTCACGGTTATACCAGGCTTACACGATAACACTACCACGGCCATGGCAGGATCCTTGCGCTACTTAAAAAACACTGATTAACATGGTGACGGTTGTGGCAGGCGTAAGTCTTGCAATAGATAGCGTGTGAAAGATGGCTATGTGCAAATATAGTAAGCTGGATCCTGGAGCACAGGCATAGGAACAGACGGTTGGTTGTCCTGAAACAATATTCGACAGTGAATAGGTTGTCTGTCCCGGTGCAGATGTGTCATAATAAGTTTATGTGTTCCGCAAAATGCAATGTACAATTGATGCACTGTAGGCTAAATTTACTCGAGTCTCTAGCCTTAGAATAAGATCCTCCACTTTATTATAAATGCATGTATGCAAGACTTTTACTTTAATTACTTACTAAACCTAATAAATGATGAATTACATTAATTACTAAAAATACATTGATTTACTCTTTTTTGAAAGTTGAATTCCTTTATAAATAACTAAGAATTATGTAGATTTATTCATATATATTTACTAAATCTAATTGCTTATAATAACTAAAAATTACATGTACTTTTTACTCACAATTACTTAATCTAATCACTAAGATAAACAAGATGAATTACTTAGATTTACTCATAATTACTTAATCTATTGAATTCCTTAAAATAACTAAAATTACTTAGATTTAGTCATAATTACTTAATATATTGAATTTACTAATTAAAAAAAAATTGAATTCCTGTATAAACAACTAAGAATTATGTAGATTTAATCATATATATTTACTAAATCTAATTGCTTAGAATAACTAAAATTACTTTTATTTACTCATCATAACTAAATCTATGAAATAACTAAACATAACTTAGAATTGCTCATTATTATTAGATCTATTGAATTCCTTAAATAGCGAAAAATCATCATGACTAAATCTATAAAATAACTAAACATTATTTAGAATTACTCATAATTATTAGGTCTATTAAATTCCTTAAATAACAAAAATTACTTAGATTAACTCCTAATTACATCTATTAAAATTCTTAAGATATCTAAAAATTACTTAGATTTAGTTACAATTACTATTGAATTCATTTAAGTAACTAAAAATTACTTAGAATTACTCCTAAATATATTCAATTCTACTTAAATTTACTCATAATTGCTTAAATTTACTTATAATTACTTCATCTTATTACTTAAGATAAATAAGAATTACCTAGATTTACTCAGAATACTTAATCTATTGAATTACTTAGAATAACTAAAATTACATAGATTTACTCATCATAACTAAATCTATAAAATAACTAAACATTACTTAGAATTACTCATACAGTAATTACTAGATCTATTGAATTCTTTAAATAACAAAAAATTACTTAAATTAACTCCTAATTACTAAATCTATTGAATTTCTTAAAAAATTAAAAAATACTTAGATTTAGTCATAATTACTTAATCTATTGAAATCATTAAAGTAACTAAAAGTTAAATATATTCAATTCCTTAAAATAACTAAAAATTACTTAGATTTACTCATATTTACTAAATCCATAGACAGAGCTCTGTCATGGTTTACAATTTTTTAATGCATGTTTTAAAATTTCAACTAACTCTTTCCTGGTGTATGCATGCTTGTTTATTTTACGTATGGCTTTGTTTGGAAAGGAGAGTGTCAAAGGACCTTTTATTGTCAAAATTACGCTGAATTCATAATATTGTAGTTTGAATGTAAAATGATGAAGATGATTTTTATTTAAAAATTAAATGTGAATACATATAAACAAGGAACAATGTTTGAAGGGATTGTTGAAGGTTTCTAAATTTGATAACTTAAGGTCAGACAGGGTCATGCCCTATGGTGCATGTGATGCCCTTATATCACTGATATAGATATTTTATCATGAATTTAGAAAAATGTTGTTGATAAAACAATGTCAATGGATGTCAAGTATCATATTCATCAAAATTCAAAGTTCAACTGAAATACTGGATAATGTAACAAAATGAAGTAAAATGTTCAGCGAACATAAAAGGCAACACATAACAAAACAAACACATCCATTAGTCCAAATATAAAAATCCAAGAGTGATCTGAATGCATTTTTTTCCTTCCACTAAAATGTGACACTGGGTTGTTCAGGAAAGATAATATGTGATTGAAGTAAAACCTGTGGAAGTGGAACACCCATGGTGTAAAAGTGTTCCATGTAGGAACAAATTGTAGAGGTTCAATAACATGAAGTTACCCTGTGTGCAGAGTCTAGTTAAACTACAAGACGAAGCTCTCTTTTAAGAAGTGAATGAATGCAAAGGGTAACATGAAGTAATAGGGTCATGGGACTAAAAAGTGTTCCAATTACATAGGCATTCTACTTTATTGACAGGTTTCACTATTTTGTAGTCATCCTACAATGTTGTTTTTGTGTTATAATTTTCTATTGTTTTTCCAGGATTTATTAAGAGAATTGAATATTTTCAGGTATCTCAATCAATGCTAAGGTGCCAGGGTCAATGTATACAGCCCTGTGGGAAAACAAAATCATAGATGATCCCTACTACAGATTCAATGATGTCACCACACGATGGGCAGCATATGATGAATGGACATTTTCAAGACAGTTTGAAAGTAAAAAAAAGTTCAATATTCTTCTATAAAATGCTTGATGTTTCAGGGGGTCATTAACAGAAACTTTGTAAAGTTAAGAATTCATTAAAGTTCATGTTTCATATCCATGTTTACATGCAAACATTACAGTTTTCTACTTTTAGAAGTTGTACACTTTCCTCCAAATTGAAAAAATATATTGTATACGCTGTTTCAGTATCCGATGCCATCAACAAGCAGCCAAACATTGAGTTGCTATGTGGAGGCCTTGACACCATAGCAACCATCATGATCAATGGTCAGGTTGTAGGTACTGCAAACAACCAGTTCAGGAGATATGTCTTTGACATTAAGAAATATGTAAAGGTGAGAAAATGGTGACCAAAATGGCAAATTTGCTGAAAATAGACTAAAATAATTATTGATAACAATTGCTAAGAAACTTTTGACAAAATCTTCCAATTTTCATAAAATATATGCCCAATCTATGCAATATGTTCATCAGAAGGGACTCTCAATTTATGCACTTTTTGTACCATATATATTTGGATATGTACCACATAATGTTCAACAGGTATCATGCTTCAATTGTAGGTTGGAACAAACAGTATTTCAGTGAAGTTTGCCTCCCCAGTGAAGTATGCAGCTAAGCAGGCCTCTGCCTACTCTTATGTGGTACCCCCTGAGTGCACTGCACCTGCACAGAATGGAGAGTGTCACGCTAACTTTATCCGCAAGTCTCAATGCTCATTTAGTTGGGACTGGGGCCCAGCATTTCCTACTATGGGAATATGGTGAGTGTCATAAGAATTTTTTGTATGCTTTTCTGTGTGGGTTGAAATGGGCCTCAACATGAGTCTTAAATAGCAATACATGTACTGTATTTCCAGTTAAAAACAAAATGGGCACACAACATAAAGTATAGTCTTAATTGCTTCAAGACCCTGGACTCTCCTCTCCTATCTACTTTTGTTGTTAAAGTAGATACATGTAGCAGGGGGGGGGGGGGGGGGTTCTTGAAGCAAGACTACATAAAGTATAAACTGTGCTAAACACCTTCTTACAAAAGAATCTATACTTTATAGGAGAAATATAACTCTAGAAGCGTACGGTGATGTGGCAATGAGATATGTAGCTCCACAGCCTTTAAAAGGTAACACATTAGATAATTACTCGTATACATCTACAGTAAAACTTGACTAAAGCAAGCATTGTTGGGACCTGCAAGAGTTTGTTATATTGAGAAGTGTTCATATTATAGGTTCTTGCAATACGGGAGTCGTTGGGAAATTCAAAAAGGATCGTTGTGGACTATAGTTTTGAGGTGTTCACTTTTTAAAGGTTTATTGTATGTTGTACATTTAGATTGAAAGTACATGTTAATGATAGAATTATTGCTTTGTTTCATGCATTCAATGAAAATCATGAATCATTGTTGTTTTATCTTTAGGTATGGGGGCTGCAGAGTGGGTATTGGTTGTGTATGTAGAGTTTGGTTTAACAGATGACAAGACCCATACAGGTTACCTAGATATCTCAATAGAGGGCATTCCAGACATATCTAACAGTCGACTGATACATATCAACAAAACCAACTTGAACACAACCGCACTAGTACCAATTGGAAAGGTATATTTTTGCATTTTATGACTTATAGATAAGCTACTAGGGAGTTTAAGCTAGCAATGTTTTTCACAACCTAAATGTGAATGGAAAATATTTAAGCGATGCATTTTTATAGGTGATTGGTCATACGTATAGGTTGGCATTTTGATTTTATATGCAAGCTTAAACTCCCTAATGTCTCAATTCATACTCAAATCTGAATGTGGGTGAAAATATTTTTCAGTTTCCTTAATAGTAGGTATTCAGTTGTTATTGGGGTTTTGCAAGAATTGGCTTAACTGTTCTCTTTACAGCTAAGCTGGTGCTCTATCAGTTAATACAGTTGACTGTGTGTAACATTCAGAAGAAAATGTTTGAGATGAAACCTAGGTCTTAGTGTTTTACTTTTCAAACAGTAGAAATATCAACCTTGTGTAAATCTGTTGAACAAACACTTTTATTCTTTGATTACATTACAAAATTATTAATATTACATTTTTCATTTAAATTCTAGGGAGCAGTGAAGACCTGGTGGCCAAATGGCTATGGTGAACAACCTTTGTATAACATAATCGCTAAATATTCCCCAATGAAGTCATACTCTCAAGTAATGAAGAAGGTTAGGTTTGGCTTCAGAACTGTGGAAATAGCTCAGAATCCAGTTCCATCATCCCCAGGTATGAAAAACATATTATTAGTTAATCAATCATCATATTGGAAGTCCTTTGAAAATGTACAAAGTGTATTGTCAGTGAATAATGATGCTCATTGCATATGGATGAATGCTATTTCCCTTTCACAGTTATTTAAAAAATTAAAAGAGGTTCGAGTTAAATTTGGATTATTTCCAGTTTGACAAAATAATTTGATAGTATTTGTTTCGATTAAAGGCTCAAGAACACACAACATGTGTTCAAAGGGATGCAACCTTGGGTGCCTTACTAAGAGAAAAAATCAGTAAAAATCAAATCAACCTCATACATGTATTAACTTAGTTATTGGTAAACCTGATACACTTACCATCCTTTCTGTAAATATCAATGCTTGTAAAATTGTGAAAGAGGGTGATTCAGTTTAACTTTATTCCAGGTTTGAGTTTCTACTTCAAGATCAATGGTTTTCCTATATTCATGAAGGGTTCAAACTGGATCCCTGCAGACAGCTTCCAAGAGAGGATAACCCCATCTTATCTGAGGAGGATACTCCAGTCAGCCAAGGATGCCCATATGAACATGCTGAGAGTATGGGGTGGAGGGGTATGTAACTTGTATGTACCATTATCTACATCACTGGGCGAAGTGACTAAATATAAACAATTTAATCACAAATAATCAGTGAATAAATTATTATTATCTGGTTAAAACCTATTATCAAGACTATTATTGCTGGTTATCACTGATTATCGAGACTTATTAATCAACAATAACCAGTGTTTTAACTGGTTATTACGATAATCAATTCTTATTAATGTGTAGCCAATGGCAAAAAATCCAACTGATTATCGAGTCAAGTGATTATTATTTGTTTTCATTAGGAATTAAGAACTGTCTGCCACTTATCCATCCAGTCCTTCCAATTATTATCCGCTAAATAAACAAATAGCTTTTGTTTAGCTTAAAGGAATATTCCTTTCCAGACTATTTCTCTCCTGATATGGTAGCTATAATCAAATATATACTCTACATATTTAGCAAAACACGGGAAAATGTTTCGAAATGGTCAATATTGTTAATTCAAAATTGTATTACTCATTTCAAGTAAGCTGCCATCTATTAAGATTTCATTCAGGAAGTGATGTCATCGACTCTCACCTGTTATAACCTTGCCTATTACAGTATAGGAAAGAAGCACAAAATCACTTCTTGACAAGAATCCCTTATCTTCTGTGCAAAAATATTTTCAGGGCTTGACAACTTAGAATTAAAGAAGAGATTACAAGAAGGATTTAAATCATATACCAAATTGAAAAAATATTCAGCTGGTTTTGTAATTCCAATAGCTCCTTACCTAATGCTATATGCAAAGTTGAGAGTCGATGACATCACTTCCTGAGTGAAATCTTAAAAGATGGCAGCCTACTGGGATTGAGCAATATATTTTTAAGTTATCAATATTGACAATATCAAAACATTTGTCTATGTTTTACTAAACATGGAAAGTATATGTATGGTTATAGCTACCATATTAGGAGAGAGATGGTCTGGCAAGGAATATTCCTTTAAGAATATGAATTTTTGCGAAATTGAATTGTTTATTCAAACATCATATTTTTAAGTTCATTGTCAACCAAATGAAACAAACATATTTTTATGATTTCATTTAATGTTAGATTTTATTTTCATTTTATTTAGCTGTCCAAAGTCAATCACCTGGATTCAAGATTTTTCATTAGCAATTATCATTCAGCATTTTCCGTAATTTAATCTGAATCTTAATTTACTAGGATTGAGCATTGACAAAATCACAGGCCATGTTTTGCTATATCACAGGCCTTTAGACAAATTTGTAAGATAACAGTGAAAAATCGCAGGCCATAAACTGCTATATCAAAGGCCTATAAACAAGTATGTAAGATTACTATGAAAAATCACGGGCCATGTAGTGCTATATCACAGGCCCATAGACAAATATGTAAGATAATAGTGAAAAAACACAGGCCACAAACTGCTATATTACAGGCCTATAAACAAGTATGTAAGATTACAGTGAAAAATCACAGGCCATGTATTGCTATATTACAGGCCTATAAACAAATATGTAAGATTACAATGAAAAATTACAGGCCCTAGAGTGCTATATCACAGGCCTATAAACAAGTATGTAAGATAACAGTGAAAAATTACAGGCCATGTAGTGCTATATCAAAAGCCTATAAACAATTGTGTAAGATCACGCCCGGTGATCGGACAAAATGAACGGAGGGGGAGTAGGCGATCTCTGCAAGAAAATCCAACAAATCTTGAAGATTTATTTTTTCAACAGAAAGTTTAGAACTGAATTGCCAAATGAATAGGCGCAGTACATGTGAAAATATGTTAGGACTTCTAGTACAAGGGGGGGGGGACATGTCTGAGATATAAGACATGTTTCTTGAATTTACTCATATTTATTTATTCTTGTCATGCGAGACATACATGTATCTCTAAGAAAAATATGGTTTAAGCTTAATCATGGCAAGTTTTAAATGATTTCCGTTCTTGACGGTTCAGAATATACAAATACTTTCTCTAAAAGTTGCCTAATTTGAATAATATTTCTTTTCAGGTTTCGCATCTAAATTACAACACATTTTCATCAAAATGACAAAATATTGGAAATTATATCAAAGTTTTAAAAGATACTTTCTATCTCAGACAAGTTGATCATTTTATTTAGACAAGAGATTATATTCCAGCCGTGTCATTTGTAATTAGCCCTTTGAAGTTTAATCAGTCTCAATAATCAGTTGGTCGGTTATTCAGTAAATAATCTAGCCTTTAAAAGTAATAATTAGGTCAGGACCAGACTATGTCTAGTTATTAATGATTATTCTGAAAAATTAATCGCTGATTATTATGTGTTAATTCCAACCTGTTTGTCCAGTGCATGACATTTTTGATACCCAAAGTTGGATGAAGGTTGAGTATAATATGATAAAAATTGAAAAGAAATTATTCTGGTGTTAAAGGTTCAAGAAATATTTTTATGGAGCCAGTATTTTGTTTCAGAGTTCCAAAATCTATTTATTTAAGATGTTTATTTTAATTAGATTAAACTGTAAATATTGTTACATATATCAATACAGTAAAACCTGCTAAATCCAAATGCCAGTGGAACTGTCCAATAATGTTTAGATTTGCAGGTACCCACAGTTCAAGGTTTTGCATGTAAGTTTATGGCAGTTTAAAAAATGGAACTGAAAAAAGTGTTCAAATTGAGAGGTGAGCAGATTAGAGAGGTATTTGGATATATGTTTTACCATATCAGTATTATTCAATTTTATTAATTGTGATCATTTTCAGATATATGAATCTGAGGCATTCTACTCCATCTGTGATGAGCTTGGAATAATGATATGGCAAGATCTAATGTTTGCCTGTGCCATGTACCCAGCAAACACAGACTTTCTTCAAAATGCAAGGCAGGAATTTGTCCATCAGGTATAATGGCTGTATCCAGGTACTATTTGTATATGGTAGATTTTTGTCAGCAACCTTTTACACTTAAAGCATTCTGGATCATTTCTCTGGATTTCAGGTTGGATTGACCATTTTCGATGAATGTTCATGTACCATAAATTAGTATGCACTTGTACATGTGTATAGCAGATAAACAGTTGTCATCTAAACCATATAAAGTTATGTTTTGGATTGCATTGTGATCAATTTTGATGTTTCAATTACAGCCAGTTGTGCTTCAGCCTAAATTGCAGTTGTCCACTTCACATGCTGTTTTACTATTTGTTTATGTTGGATTTAACATATTTTGTAGGTTCTCAGATTGCAGAGGCATCCATCTATTGCAGTATGGAGTGGAAATAATGAAAATGAGGCTGCCTTGGCACAGAATTGGTAGGTAATTTCTGAATCTACACGTTCATGTATTTTCATTGCCATCATTTTAAAATATATACAGGGTGAGCCCAAAAAACAGTGGTTAATATTTATAGATCATTTATCAGGATCATTTATAGAATCTACAATGAAGATTAGGCATTGGGATCATAATAACCATGTACTGGTATATGTACACCACTGTTTGACTAAAAGACATGGTACACTCCCTTGCACAGCTTGAGATTAACATTTTCCACATTCTTCTTAAATTTTGCTGTCTCCCCCATATAAAATAAAAGAAGCAAAGTTTCATGTAAATTCCAAATATATTTGTAGATACTTTAATTTAATACATACTGACATATTGACTTTATTTTATTTTATAATGTAAAGCAACCACACATGATTATTTCGTATAATGCCAATACCCTAGAAAGTCAGTACTTATACTGACCAATTAAGCACTGTACATGTATACCATAAGAGGAACTTAATGTATTAATTCAGGTATGGGACTAAACCAAAGTTTGAGGCCTACAAAAAAGATTACCTGGCCCTGTATATAGATACTGCCAAAGATGTGATCACCAAATTAGACAAGAGCAGACCATTCATAGGTTCCAGTCCAACTAATGGGGTAGAGTCGGAAAGAGAGGGATGGGTTGCTCAGAATCCTGCTGATACCCACTTTGGTGATAGTATGTCTATTTTACAGTAATTATTCCATTGAACCATGGGCTTTCAAAAGAAAGAGAAAGCCCACAACTGAACAAAGTTTGGAAGGGGTATAGTAAAGCCCTGTCTGTCTAATCGAATACAATAAGACTTTTCTTCATATGTGATATATTTCAGATTATAAACTATCACCTTAAAAACTTTCAAATACAGTGCAGTACTAGTACTCAGTGTTTTTACCTATATACACCCTTGGTATACGCAGCTAACGAAAATTGACCGGTACGGGTCAAAAGCTGGACCGGTACGGGTTAACGGTTTTATTTGAATTTAAAACAGCCATAACTTGCTCAATATTGACTTCCTCATGTCTAATTTGAAATATATGATGCCTCTCGATGCTTTTAAGTACCCCAATTTTTTACAGATTTTTAAACGGACCAAAACTCTCTAAATGCGCATTTATGCTCTTTTCTCTCGAGAACGACTGTCTCATTTTCACGATAACTTTTATTTAGTACTTCTAACATATAAGATCTATTTTCCCCATCAAGGTATGATGTAAATGACATGCTATTTACATCTTGTGAGTTTCAATGACGCGCGTTTAATTTTATAAAAAATGCCAAACTTTGTGACAAAGAATTTCATCAGCTATTGCCCCGAACCGGTCCGTCTTCTCGCTGCAAGCAGATTGCCCCGAACCGGTCCGTCTTCTCGCTGCAAGCAGGATGAAATTCTTTGTCACAAAGTTTGGCATTTTTTATAAAATTAAACGCGCGTCATTGAAACTCACAAGATGTAAATAGCATGTCATTTACATCATACCTTGATGGGGAAAAATAGATCTTATATGTTAGAAGTACTAAATAAAAGTTATCGTGAAAATGAGACAGTCGTTCTCGAGAGAAAAGAGCATAAATGCGCATTTAGAGAGTTTTGGTCCGTTTAAAAATCTGTAAAAAATTGGGGTACTTAAAAGCATCGGGAGGCATCATATATTTCAAATTAGACACGAGGAAGTCAATATTGAGCAAGTTATGGCTATTTTAAATTCAAATAAAACCGTTAACCCGTACCGGTCCAGCTTTTGACCCGTACCGGTCAATTTTCGTTAGCTGCGTATACTAAGGGTGTATATAGCGAGGTCAGCAAATGTGGATTTAGAGTACTTTTTAATCTGATGGTGTTCTGCTTCCAGTGCATTGGTATGACTACTCTGCTGATGGATGGAGCTGGAAAAGCTACCCTAGAACAAGATTTGCTTCAGAGTTTGGCTATGAAGCTTGGTCATCATTTGAGACGGTTGCTAAGGTATCTGTGAAAGAGGACTGGAGTTACTATAGTAATTTCTCTTTACACAGACAACATCACCCAAATGGTAAGGAATTGTTTAATGCATACTGAATGTTTGAGATATCAGAGGTACATGTAATACACAGCTGTTCAAAATGACATAAAAACACAACCCTCTCATTTGTGATAACCTTCTGAATTATGATTTATCAATTGTCAGAGTAATCACGTACACCATAATCATCATCCTGTACTATTTATTTGTAACAAAGGAATATTCTGAGTCATAAAGAACTTGAACGTGACAAAGGTTAACAAGTGAATTTTCTTTTTGAATTTTGACATATGAAAGTCCCCTATCAGACCACTTATTAAGCCTGTTAAAGCCTCCATGATAAAAAGTCAAAATTGTCTCATCCAACCTTTTATCCATGAACAAAATGAATGTTAAAGAATAAGCACTTGTTGAAGGATATCCAATGCAGACTTTTGTTGCCAAACTTCTGATGGGGGTGTATATACACACAAGTACAATGCACAAAAATAACATGTACATTGTATTCCAGGTAATGATCAGATGCTAAAGGAAGCTGCGAAACACATCAATCTTCCAACAGGAGATGATGAGGTTCAGCAGTTTAAGGATCTCATCTATGTTACACAGGTAATATTTTATGGGAAATCTAATTTTGTCCCATAAAATGGTTACCATTTTCTAGATAAAAGGCTCAAAATCGGGAGACTTTACCAAGACAAAATTATTGACATCATGAAGAATAAATCCAGTCTAAAAATATGAGAAATATTAATATCTATTGAAGTGTTACTCAATAAGTGTCATATTGGAAGAAAAAATTCGCTAAACTCTTCTTTCATTTGATGACCTTATTTAATGACTTTAAGGCATTATATTATCTTATATATCTTATATATTTAATCTAGATCAACCAAGCTATGGGGGTGAAGACAGAGGTGGAATTCAATCGCCGAATGCAGAGTCTAATAGTGGATGGAGAAGGCGGGTGTATGGGCTCCCTCTATTGGCAGCTGAATGATATATGGCAATGTCCAAGCTGGGCATCTATTGGTAAATATAAAATTGCTCAGTTTTCTATCTGGCATCTAAATAATTAGAATCAAGACTAAATCAAAAATCACAGGTCATAATATGACAAATGACCTTCTTATTGTCAAAATGAAAATTGAAGCTTGTTTTAACATACCGTACTTTATCCATACATGTATACTATATTATTTGCACATGATGGTATTAAAATTAAATGAACATATTGGCTTTTTTCATGAAACGTTCTTTAAGAACATGGATCCAGTATTTGTACATGAATTACAATTTCTTTGTATTTTTTATCAGAAATATCCAATGGTAGTTCCTTTAAATCAATAATTATTTCAAATGTTTATCCTTATTATAGGCTATAGGAAATCTTGTTATTACAGAATATGGAGGCAAGTGGAAAATGCTGCAATACTATGCTCTAAAGTTCTACAACCGTACGATAATATCCCCATACATAGAAGCAGACAATAAAACAGTATCTGTGTACTACATAGAGGATAAGCTCCCCATGAAGCTACCACCACATGATCACCACCCAGACACCAACCTTAAGTTCAAGCCTAGAGATGGGGCCAAGGGTCTGTATGATGTACTTATGGATGTGAGTGTGGATGATGCCAACCAGGTTGGGGATAGCAGGGAGCCTGAGGCTCATTCACTCTTCATCGATGTATATTCATGGGATGGTACCCCATCTAAGCCATTGATGACATATCAGGAGAACTTTTGGAATGTATGTTTACACTTTTACTGTTCTGTTACTGTTTTGAAATATTGTTACTAGATACGTTTATAGTATATTTTGAGTGGATGAAAATATCACAAAAATATTGGAAGTCCCTTTAATTTTTAATTCAGAAATATCTTCTGCATTTTGAATCTGATCAAATGAATCCTACCTCAAAATATTTTCGAAACATAAAACAGCTGATTTTACATACTTCTTTCACATCAATTCATAGAAGAGTTGATATCTGACACACAAAATAACTATATGTTGATATTAAGCAATGCAATTCTATATAAATGTACAACTATTTATTTGAAACAATCTTAATTTATTTTGAGAAAATAGACCTTTCAAATGAACCCTCCTACCTTTTGGTTTGTGTTGAAACAATTTTATCTGAAAGATTTTTATTTTGAGCACAGGGAATTGCATGGAGGGTCGGACAGAGCTCTCATGAGTCTTCAAAGTGTCAATCTTTAGATTGAAGACTTACATGTAGAAGACTTACAAGGACTCTGCCTGATCTTCCATACCATCCCTGTGATTTTGAGAAGATTAAGGACTATTCAGGCAAACAGAAAAAGACGGAAACTCTAAATGGATTGCTTGCACCTTTTATTTGTCATTACAAGTAGCCTTTTATTTGTAGCCTATAATGTAGTGAATCTTAATCTATTCCATATATTTCCATATAGCCGCAAATCGCCAGTACAAAAGTAATGGACTTCCAACTGACTGAAGAGGCTGCAAAAGCTGCAGGGTGTACCTCCTTGTCCCACTGCTTCTTGCACTTCTACCTGGACAACCCAGATAATTATGGCCCTAGCAACTGGCTCACCCCTGTAGAACTTAAAGATGCACAAGGAATGAAGAAAGCAAACACAAAGGTGAGAATTTGGTGCAGTTGTTAATGTTAAGGCATGCGTTTTATGTTTAGAAAGTTGTGTGGTTCTACAAAAGTGTATGTTGCAAGAAAGTTGTATGGTAAAAGAAAGTTATGTGTTGCAAGAATTTTGCGTGTCCTATGACAATTTGTGGTGCAAGAAAATTGTAATGTGCAAGAAATTTTGCGGTGCAAGAATCTTGTATGATGCAAAAAATCTTGTATGATGTACAGTATGTTGTAAGAAATCTGAATGGTGCAAGAAAGTTGCATGGAACAAGAATTGTTAAAAAATGTGTGATCCAAGAAAGTATTGCGATGCAATAAAAAATGTGGTGCAAGAAAGTTCTGTGATGCAAGATATTACATGGTGCAAGAAAGTTTTGTCTGTGGTGCAATAATCAGCAAGTTTTATCAGTAATTTGACAGCTATCAATTAACTTACAAGTATACAATATTATCACAAGATGTATTCATAGTATGTGTACATTGATTTATGACTTAAAATCCATTGACATACCAATCATGAACATGCATGAAAATTTTGTTCTACTCCATAAAGTAAGCCATTAATTTTTCAAGTAATTAACATCTACCTAAATGCTAGTGATTTAGAGACAATAAAACATAAATTTTCCATTTCAGATCATAGATGTGAAACATGTAGAAGACAGAACATTTTCCTTTACGGTTACTACTGATGCTATAGCCCCTTTTGTGTGGATGGAGGCCACGGGAATACAGGGTCGATTCTGCTGTAATGGGTATATGATGGTAGAGGCCTCCATAAAACACATGTTCTATGCATGGGAGGACACGACTGTAGAAAAATTACAAGCTGCTTTGAAAGTTACATCTTTAATGGATATTTATCGATAAGGTGTTCAGCATTTTCAGTGGTGATTCAGTGGCATATCATTTATATTTTTTATAAAATTATTAGATTTGATTTTATGAAAGCAGAGTTGACTGAAATAACAAGGGCTACATTACCATAAGATTATGATGCCAAGATTTCCATAAAATGGATTTAGTAGCGTAACTAAAAATGTTCTGGTAACGTGTTATGTACCTGTCGTTAATTAACTTATTTCAGAGGTGACACTGTTACTGTAAGATATTCAAACCTTTAATGATGATGATGGATGGAGAAACACAGGGTTGATGCCAGACTACATGTGTATATCATATGGTATATTAAACATGAAGAATTATCTATGCAGCTGTAGATTTTATTTTTTATTGCAGTATTAGTAGCCATTAAGAAACATAATAAATAACAGAATAATCAGTTCTGAAATGGTAGCAATGTAGAATTTATGGAATTAATTCTTGCTCATTTCCATATGTAATAATGCCAGAAACATTCCGTAGATATTTTTAATACATATATTTTCTATTTTTGTACCAGAATTGTACAAATAGATTTGTGTGCAATAATATATTTGTTAACATCTTTTTTAAATACTGTATACTCAAACATGAAAATCTTTCAATAAATATATGATATGGACTGTTATAAAATGTTTTGAAAAAATATGCTCATGAAAAATGTTATTTCTATATACTGAACAAGTCTTAAAAAGACGAAATAAAATGTTTTAACAAAAAAAAGATTTCTTATTTATTCCTTAATTATATTATTAATGTCATTGATGAAACCTCTTCAATAAAAACTAGAAAAACAGCAACTCCACAGAGTAGCAAATCCAACTGAACAAAACATGTTTTGAGAAATAGCGGCCATATAACCAAATCCATCCACTGGTATTTCATGTATTTGAGTTATCAAAGATTATGTTTTTTATGAAACATGGCCATTTTGAAAATCAACTGCCACCTATCATATGTCCCTAGGCATCAGCATATAAAATTTGATCCAAATCTTTCAAAGATTACATTTTCAATGAAAAATGGTGGAGATTTTGATAAATAGCAGCCATCTTGAAATTCAGTGGCCATCTCAAAAATCTTCTGGAGCAAGACTCCTTTGTCCCTAGGCAACAGCATATAAAATTTGAACCAAATCGGTCCACTAGTATTTGAGTTCATGAGTATTTGAGGTCCTACACCCATAAGGCATAAGCATATAAAATTTGAATCAAATCAGTCAATTGGTATTGAATTGAGTTATTGACCGGACGGACCTCTTGTAATATATAGATACATATATCCCCCTCAAACTTTGTTCGGTGGGATAATGAAGATCTAATACAAATATTTCTATACTTCAAGATTTTTTTTATTCATCTGATGTCCAAAAAGCCACTAATTTGAGACATGGTGTAATGCACAATATCCTAGAATGGTTTTCCAAGTTTACAAGTCTCCAGTTTTTATTTATTTAAGCAGAGGTATATTTGTTTGTATGTTGAGAGTCTTTCAGTTGTAGAATTCACATATAAAATATACCTAAGAATTTGACACAAAGATTACTGAAAGCATCCATTCTAGAGAGGTTAAATGTCAATGTTAAATAGAGCTCATAAAAGGAGTGAAGAAAGAAAAGGCTCAACATTACCATGCAAAATGTCACCACCTGTCATTTGTTACAGACACCAACCACCAAATGCCAAAAACATTCAAAAAAGACTATAAAGATAAAATATGCCACCACTTGGTGGTGACATAAAAAAAATTATAGTAATATAAAATTTCTTTGTTATTTACGCCAGGGGTGTAGCAATGATCCAAAATTAGGCAAGGCAAAGCCTCGAAGGATTTGGTGAAAAACCTTGAGATGCTGTATTGCTTAGTTCTAAGTTATATTGATCAAAAATAACTAGTAAATTAAAGAATACTGTCTCAACTCCTAATATACAATTTTTAAGTTTACAATGCCTGAAAGTTAAAGATAATTGGCAACCAAACTTTGTGATTTTTCTCTCTAAAAAATATCTGTGGAAGATTAGAAATCTCAAACTATTTTTCCATATTTGTAACTTTTTAGATATCAATCCACTAGAAAATGTTCTTGACGTATCATTTACCTACATGTATATCTAATTTGTCATTAATAAAGTCTAGAACTTGGCTAATAGAAACAGCATCTCAAAGTTTTTCACCAAACCCTCTGATGCTCTTTGAATAGGTGAGGCAGAACTTTGGGCATGGGCTTTCAATCTAGTTGGGCAATAAAATACAATCAAGTCGACTTCATTTAAACGATTTTTATTTTTCTGTAAAATTTTGAGCCTCGTCTGCCTCATTCCTGGCTACGCCCATGTAATGTATCTTGATATCATGTTTCTTTAAACTTGCATTTGTTGTAAATGATTTTTGACAATACTGGCATTGGAAAGGTTTTTCTCCTGTGTGGGTCTGTTGATGACGCTTCCAGTTACAGACAGATGAAAAATATTTCTCACAGTATTTACATTTATGAGGTTTGAGACCATCGTGAATCACTCTTACATGTTCCAGTAAACTAGCAGAACGTGGGTAGGATTTATCACATAATTTACATTTGAATGGTCTCTCCCCAGTGTGTTTTCTCTCATGGATCTTGAAAGTAGAAGCATTGAGAAAACCTCTTTCACAATAAGAACATTTATAAGGTTGTTCCCCAGTGTGTTCTTTAACATGAGCCAACAAATGGGTTTGACGTGAAAAACATTTGTCACAAAAATTACATTTAAATGGTTTCCCTACAGTGTGTATTTTCTCATGGGCATTTAGTGTTTCAGGGCTCTTTAAAACCTTATCACAATATTTACATTTGAAAGGGTTTTCACCAGTATGTAAAGCTTCATGGGCCTTAAGCCTTGCAGCTTGGTTAAAGCTTCTTTCGCATGAACTACATTTATATGGTGAGTCACCAGTGTGTTTCCATTCATGAATTCTCATTGAATTACGATGTTTAAAAACCATACTGCAATATTTACATTTGAATGGTTTCTCGTCAGTATGCATTCTCAGATGAGACCTTAGATTAGCAGGACGTGTGAACGCTTTTTGACAGATTTTACATGGATAGGGTCTAGATCCACTGTGTGTTTTTATATGTTCACTTAGATGATGTGGTTGAGCGAAATACTTTTCGCACTCCTCACATTTAAAAGGTTTATCGCCAGTGTGAATCCTCATATGGATTTTCTTATTACCAGAATGATTAAACGTTTTTTCACAATGGTCACACTTGTATTTTTTCTCAGTGTGTACTTTTAAATGTACTTTGAATTTTTTGTCTGTTTCAAATGTTTTTCCACATTCCAAACATCTTAGAGTCTCTGCATTTGTAGCAACAACACCTAAATTGATTTCAAATCCCCCTCTAATATTCTCAATAGTTTTAGGTTTGTTGTTATTTGTTTGGTCAGATTTTATATTTTCTTGGAAAGCAGATACTGCATGATCAAGTCGGGTTATATTATTTGGTTCAATGTCATTTACACAATCAATGTGTTCCTCTTTGAAACCATCCATAAAAACATGATTTTCAATGTCAACATTTTTTGCCCCAGATTCAAAGGCATAAATCATGTCACTAGAATTTGTCTCCACTGGCTCCTGCTTGACAGTATAATTAGCACCATTGCCTTTGATTTCATTATTTTCTTCAAACTGCGTACTTCTAGAGTCCTGGCTAAATGAAGTATAGGTGTCACTGTCAGTGCCACCTCTACTGTCCTGAGTACTTCTGTCAATAATAGAAGATCCTGGGTTGTAAAATTGTTCCAAAGAAGTGTCTGGCATAAAACTGTCGACTGTCTCCCTTTTTATATTCAGCTCTAAAGAGATGTCTTTCCACGCAGCTGTTCTTGACAAATCCATATTGATTTAAAGATCTTTTTGTTTTTTTGTAAGGGATTGCTTTATGAATGTCCATCAATGGTTAACTGTTATTCTAATACATTCCATTTCATTTATGACACATTTCTGTCAGGGATGTTTGTGAAACAGTCTGTTTATCTACTCCTAGTCACCAGCACTTACTTCACAATCCATCTCTGTAATTATAAAATAAAATTATAAGACTAAACATCTCTACATTTATTTACCTTTGCACATAGATGAAAAATATTGTCTATTATCACTGGCGGATCTGGGGGGGGGGGCCCAGGGGCCCGGGCCCCCCCCCCTTGGGTGGGCCCAGAGAAAAAAAATTGTGCCCAAAAAAAATTTTGAGCCAAAAAAGGCCTTAAGGCCCCAAAAAGTAGGCCTTTTTGGTCATAAATTGGCCTTCTAAGGCCTTATTTTTTAATTTTAGACCAAATTTTGAAGAAAATGGGCCTCAAAATTTCAAAATTTGGGCCCACTTTTGGGTTTTTGGGGCCCAAAATTTTTTTCCGCGCAAGCGCGGACGTTTTTTCCACAGACCAGAAATTTGGGCCCCCCCCCTTGTTGGTTCCCAGATCTGCCCCTGATTATTATTTGTTTTGTACTAACCATCCTCCATGCAGCAGTATACCTGGGGGTTCACTGTATACAAACTTTGGTAGTGGTCCTATGCTGAACCCTCAGACCTCAATATCTTCCCATACCAATCAATTAACTTAAATATGTTCCTATACCAACCAATTTGTACAATTTAAACCCCACTAAGGTAGCAACACAATAGAATGAAATGTTGTATAATTTAAAGAATATACATGAGTATCAAAAAGAGTGCATTCTTTATCTATTGTTTTTAAAGAATTAACACTTGGCAAGCTATCCAAAACCAATGCAGTACAAAAGACGATTGCCTGTCACATGCACTAAAGCTGAGCTAATCACTCAACCATCACTCATACAGTAGTTGAATAGTAAACACAAAAGAAATCAAATTTTAAACTGTACTTGGCCTGTTACATGCAGTGCACTGAAGCTGAACATCCACTCACTTCTCAAAACACCTCATATTCAATTATACAAAATAAATCATATTTTCCAAAAACTGGAACATGTGCCATTTACCTTTGATAAGAGTCACTATTGGGTTTGAGTAACTAAGTGTTAAAAACATCAAAAATGACTGAGGTGTAAATCTCATGCATTTTGATGGGCTTAAGTTAGATAAAGCATACATACTGGGTTTTATGACCCTCGGGCATTATTTCTCATAAAACCCAGTACTCATGATTTATATCCAGAACATGATTGGCAGTTACATGTACATAACACCCCAAGACCCAATGCCATACCAAATGTCAAAATATGGGACCAAATGTCTCACAAATGATCAAAAACAACCTAAAATTAAGGACATATGTAAGGCTTACGGACAACTCATCCCCTAGACAACTCATCCCTGGACATCTCATCCCCTGGACATCTCATCCCCTGGACAACTCATCCCCTGGACAACTCATCCCCTAGACAACTCATCCCCTGGACAACTCATCCTTCATCACATGAAGCTAAATTGTTAAGGGTGTCTTGAGAAAAATTACTTAGTAAATACATCTTAGATTATTCAAAACATTATTTTTCACTTTACTGACACAAATAAACAGTCAAACGATGTCATGAAAACTCTCATCTCTTATTCTTATATTACATGACTTAATATTTCCTGACCAAACAAATAAAGTTATCTTAAACTTAAACATCATCCTTCTTCAAAGGACTTCATTTATGCTTAAATTCATATACTTGTAAAATACCCTTGCAGCAAGGATGCTTAAACATGGACTTCATTAACTTCATCTGTGAATGCTGTGAAAAAAAATCTTTGGATTAAAGAATATTTGAGCTATGAACAACAAACATATTATAACATCAAAGGAACTTCTTCAATCAATGTTAATACAGAGACATATAATGTTTTATATGTCTCTGGTTAATATGAAAAGCAAATATTTACAAAACAAATCACAGATTAATTGATTGATTATCTCTTTGTTTTTTAGCAATTCCCCCCCCAGAAAGTTTTTGTTTATCACTGGTACTCCACTAGATTATGCTGGTTACCGAAACGGAAAGTAACAAAATGTCGGAACCTCAAAGTAACGATCGATTTTGATTTTTACCTAATTCCGGTGTTGCAGGCAGAATTCCCACGACATTTTTATCACAAACGTTTGTCGGTATCATAATATGTTAAGGAAAATGTACATGTTTGCAAACAAAGTACAGAAGACAACAGAACCATTGATTTAATACCTCACTATTGTTACATAAACGGAACAGATTTTAGAAGTTCTGTTTACATAAAGTAACAAAAGTGAGACATAGAATGTCATGGGAATTCCGCCTACAACTCGTGAAATAAGGAAAAAAGAAAAATCTTGTATATGTTCGAGGCTCCAACATTTTGTTACCCAAACAGATCAACAGCGTAATCGAGTGGAGTAACGGTGTTCATGTAATATATGTTTTTTGAAACTTAAAGCTGACCATATTCACAACCAAAACATTTAAAAATCATTTGAGTATCAAATATGAATAGGTAATATAATATTAAATTACTATACTCAAACATGCCAAAAGATTAGTCCTCCAGGGGATGAGTTGTCCAGGGGATGAGTTGTCTAGGGATGAGATGTCCAGGGGATGAATTGTCTAGGGGATGACTTGTCTAGGGGATGACTTGTCCAGGAGATGAGTTGTCTAGGGGATGAGTTGTCCAGGGATGAGTTGTCTAGGGGATGAGTTGTCCGGTTACCATATGTAACTACTGGTCCATGTCATACCACACATGTTAGATAATATATCTTCCATAACCATTCTCATTGAAGTGGGACGATCCAATCATTGCTTTACCTAAGAAGTCATATATTTTGGGGGCATTGTGATAGCATCATGAAATCATGAAATTTGGGTCCATTACCACATATACTAAATATTAAAAAAGATACTCATGTGTGCCAAGGATCCGTCAATATATACAGTGAACCCCCTGGGAGCACGCAATGTAACAGTTAAATGTCGTGTCAAAGTCACCTCATCTCTAATAACGCTGCCAGTATTGCACCAGACACATATATATAAAACATATTTATGAAATGTTCAATTCCTTGTTCTCTACAAGGGTGCAGATTTCAGGCAATGCGCTTTATATTACCATTATACTAAATGATATCAGTCCAAATTAATAAACCCTCCATCAGTGACATATTAGAGACTAGATTTAGAACTCACGGGTGTTTGTAAGAACAAAAGAAAAGTTGAACAGCTTTTTGAATAAAATAATTTTTCTGGAAAAATAAAGCCAAACATTCACAAACTTACATTCATTTGTACCTGGTATCTCACCTTCTCGGTTGAAGTATAGCTCTTTCCCACCTTGGCTGCTCCAATCGATGGCAATTACTTTTGGTTTCAATCCAATTATCAATAAAATACAATAAATCAGAAAACTAAAATTTCCTTTTGCCATGACACACCACATAAAAGTTTATTGGTTTTAGCACTAGTTGGCAGTGTGTGTGGAGGGGGGGGGAGCAGAACATCACCTGAGTTTGTTTTCTGGTCTGTGATACGATCACCTCATTTAATTGTGTTTCTTAGGATTATGACATATTGTGATCCATGTGACAGCTCAATCTAGATTGTGATTATCTAGTTCCAAGACAATTAGATAAGATTGTGATTGCATTTCTTTGCATTATTACTGCTCAACAAGATTGTGTTTCTCAGGATTATGGCTAGTCTTAGATCAAGCCCTTTTGACCCTCTCATAGCCTTTCCCAATGGCCATGATAGTAGGACAAGGGCTATCTTGAAGTCTACCCTCTCATGACACACCACCATCGCTATGTTGTTGAAGGGGGGGGGGGTCCAGAGACTTGAAGCAAGACTTAAATTATGACATCTCAAACTTCCCTAAGTCTGTGACAGCTCAACCTAGATAGTTATTATATTTCTTGGTATTATTACAGCTCAATCAATATTGTGTTCCCTTTTATGACATCTCAATCAATATTGTGTTCCCTTTTATGACATCTCAATCAAGATTGTGTTCCCTTTTATGACATCTCAATCAAGATTGTGTTCCCTTTTATGACATCTCAATCAAGATTGTGTTCCCTTTTATGACATCTCAATCAAGATTGTGTTCCCTTTTATGACATCTCAGTCAAGATTGTGTTCCCTTTTATGACATCTCAATCAAGATTGTGTTCCCTTTTATGACATCTCAATCAAGATTGTGTTTCTTAAGATTATGAATGGTCAATTAGATTGCGTTTCCAATAGTTATTACAGCTCAATCAGGATTGAAGTGTTTATTTTGACTGTGAATGGTCTTTCTGCTCAATCAAAAGGTGTGGTCGGCAGTGTATGCCCTAAGGATTCCAGAGCTGCTGGTCAAAAAGGCATTACTGACCAGTTGCAATGTTATTTTCCTATACCTAGTGAAAAAATCAACTGGTCAGTATCAAAAGTAGCCAGATAATGACCAGCTGTCCGACGCTTAAGGCGTGCCCTGGTGGTCGGTCAGAAAAGATTGACTTTTGAATATTGAGAAAGGGCCATCAAGATTGTGTTTCTTAATTACGATAGCTCAATCAAAGGGTATGATTGATCAGTAAATATTGACTTTTGAATATTGTGAAAGGGCCATCAAGATTGTCTTTTTTAGGATCATGTCCAATCAAAATGAAAACAACAAAACAACAGTTCAAATACTTTTGTTACAGATATATTCAATATGTACTACAGATCATTCTATACTGTACAATATACTGCACATTTACATGTATATTCAATAAATACATTACAATACACATTGTATTTACAAATTGCACAATATTAGTCATGTAAGTCATATTAATGTATAAGAGAAAGCCAACATTTGAAATGGATATGTACATGTCATGATGGATTCCATTGATCGTTTCCTATATAATATATTTTACATTACAGAAGGATGTAGCTAAGATTGCAAAGATAATGACCAATATATATGAGTGATATAAAAGAATTTTCCTAAGAATCAACATTGCCTTGTAGCTGCTCTCAACCCAAATTTTTTTTTATTTGAAACATATAGACTAATATAGTGTATAGGATTGAGAAAATATTTAGTGAAGAAAGTGAATTACAGTATTTGCCTTTTAAAAATTTTTTTTTTTCAAATTGGAACTTGTTTTTGTATCCAAGTCCATTGATAATGTAGGTGACATATCACTATGTATTAAAGTGGTTTAAAGCACAGTCTTTCTCTTGAAAGCACTTGTTTAGGGTGATTTAGGATGAGAGGCTATTGGTCCTGTAAGACTTAAACGCACCCATTGTATTTTTATTTTACAATGTCCATGGTAAATGAGTGGTAATTAACTCAAGAGAAAATTCTTCTGTGTATGTTACTGTATGTATGTATAGAAGCTGTTCATTAAACATACTGTAGGAAACGTCCATGTGTATATGAGACAGAGAGTTGTCTCAATGAAACTTGTTTAAAAGAGTTAGGGTAGGCTACTTTTTGATCATTTTGTAATAAGTATTCCTATTGACTTTACTAGCTAAACAGAATAAATTAGATAAGTGATAAACTAGCCCTAAATGCTATATATTACACATACACTTACTACAATGTAAGCAAGAAAAATATTCAACAGCTCAAAACAGTTGGTCCATTTTTATCCATTATAGGACGTCTGTTCTGCATTGCATTGAACACCATTTTCTTTTTAATGTTAATGTATTATCACAGATCTTAATGGTTCAGTTAAAATGGTCCACAAAAGTTAATAATACTGCACATTCAGCATTTTCAACAGGCAAGTATAAGCTCTGCTAGTTCTACTATGTAATCTTCAGTTACCATCAGCTCTAGTATATCCCTGAAAATATAAAATAAATATACATCAAGAGTTATTCCAAGTTTTTTTTCAAAAATTTTACTTTCAAAAGTTCTGTCAAAAAATTCAAGAATTTTCACTATCTTTCTTATTTTCAAATGGGTTTTTGGAAAAGTCCATTTACATTGTTGCGTTACTCGATACCATGTGACAGTCATATGACCTTATTTAGAAGCATAGGTAGGTAGCTAAATGACTACTTACTAGGAGTTCCATTTGGTACATGAATATGTTCCCCTTGGAATTCGTCATTCTGCGGAACTATTTTAAAATAGTCTTCCATATCGTAAGAAGAGGCAGAAGGGTGTAATATACTATTAGTTTGAAAGGTCACATGATGACGTTCTAGGTTAGTATCAGTGCGGACATAAGGAAGGATAGCCTGTTTCTTCAGTGTTTGGTTCTGATCATACTTGGTCTGAAATAATAAAATCACAAAATACATTGATTATTAAGTAAATTCAATAGGCATTCCAGCTATTTAAACAAGGCATTAACATACAAAATGACACCACCTGCCATTCATTACAGACACCAAATGCAGACTGACAAACATCAATCACCAACAGCCAAATATTGTCCTTAAAAAAGTTGGAGACTATAACAATATATCACCACTTCTGGTGATGACATAAAAATTCACCATGACCTCAGTTTGAAAACATTATAAGCAATGATCCCATGTAAGAGAGAAATAATTTTTATAAGGTTCTCAAAAACATCCATACCACACTCTCAAAATTGAAACCCTACTTTAAAGGCTTATATGGTAATTTTTTGGCATTTGAACACTCACTAAAGCAAAAACTATAAAACTTACCTTATTGTACAATAATACTCCTGTTATAGCAGTCAACATTCCAAGTACATTGTATATTGTCACTGGATTTCTGAGCATCATGAGTGAGACTGAGATTATAGCGATCCTCTTGGTTGCATTGGCAACAGCATAACTGAGTGGTGTTACCATGGCGATCACAGTAAATGCAACAACATTTTGACCAAAGTTACATGCACCATCTATTATCAATAAGGCTAATATCCTTGGTGCATGCGTACTGTGGAGCTAAAACAGAAGTATTTAGATTAAATTATGTATACAAAGTTTACGAAAACAGAAAGTGCAACATTCAACATGTTTAATCTTCTAAATGAGCATTATTTGTACACATGACTCATATTTCTCAGGAAAAAGTTATAAGGACCACTTTTTACTTTGTTTCCGTTTTTGTGGGTTCATGTGCATGATGAAGTATACATACATATTAGGTACATAGTATTAGCTTACCATGGGTGAATCATCCCATATCCTAGTGACATCATACAGCAGCCACACAGGGAGGGCCATAAGTGTAGCCAGACGAGCAAGGATGACTAGTAAACGTAAATGATGAATACCTGTTTCTCGTAAACACTGAAATGTAAAAATTAATATTATCTAAGATTAATTTATCATAATAATACTATGAATACCTGGTTCAAAACTGAAATGTAAACATAAATATTAATATTAAAGAATAATTTAAAGAGAGAATCAGATCAAGCAAGCAGCCTATTACAAAATTGTTTCAATTTTAGAATGTTTCTGGTTAATGCAATTCTTTTTCTTGTCTATTTTCTAAAAATCCCCGAAGTGCACACTTTATTTCAGGAAAACTAAAGATTTTTATAATAACGAATTACTTTTTATTTGGGAGAATTTGAACATTTTTCACCCATTTTTACACTTTGAATCTATTATAACTTCACCAATTTAACAAATAAATAACAAATCGTGAATCTTTAGGGAGATAGAGACATGTTGTACATTGTACATGTTGCATGTAATTTTGTCACCCCCATAGATCTGGTTCTGCCTTTAATGTTCCATTTATAATCCATATAATAAAAAATCTGACACAGTGCCTAAAAGATCAAGAAAATATTTGCAAATAAAATACAACCATTGTATGGTATCTTTACTAGACAGAGGCTGCTGGATAAACAATAATTAAAAGCTAATTGACTAATTACCTTTTTTGAAAATATATTTAAGACAGCAAATCCCAATGTTGCAACGAGAGCGCTAACTAAACCTGTCACATTGAACGATAGCTCTGTTATGGTAGCTATGGCAACACCACCTATAATTGGCACCAATGATAAATATACCTGAAAACAACAAATAATTATATATACTGTACATTACATATAATACAACTGGTATTTGAGTTATCAAAGATTACATTTTTATAAAAAATGTCAGCCTTTTTGAATCGAGTGGCCATATTGGAAACTCTTCTAGCAAGATTTTTTCTCATAAGACAAACATGTGGATGTACAAACAGACAGATAGAGGAGCAGTTTCTTTATATGAACTTTGTTCGGTGAGATAATGATAACCTTTATGCCAAATCACCAAAATAAATGAGTTGCAGATTAATTCCCATTGTTCATATTCATATTGGATTTTGTCTGTAATAGATCCATATTTGGTTTTGAAACCCATTTTGGTTGGTATACTGAAGTCTCTGTATTGAACAAGACAGGGTATGTAACAAATATATTACATGTACATTACATGTATATAAAATGCACATGTTGTACTCACTTTAGTTGTTTGTTTTTCACCGAGAATTATTCTGGCTAACAATACTGTAAACAATGGCATTGTGGCTTTCACTGGAAATATAAAAAATCAATAAATTAAAAATTATTTGAAATGCTGGTAGTGTGCATGGTGCATTGCTGCATGGTTGTTAGCCATATACTAATTAATATAAATAAATTAGAAGAGTTTTATTGAAGTCTTAGCCCCTATAATCCCAAGGTACATACTTCTAGAGTCACTAAACACCTGCTTAGAAAATCAGCTTTTAGACAAGATAGTTTACAAGAAAGCTTTAAGATCTATAGAGCAAGGCCTCTCCCTCTCACCAAAAGTTATATCAAAATCATGCATTTTTCGCCATTCTGAGCTCTTTTCAGAGTGATTGTCAAAAGTGAACCCCCCTAGAATTTTTTGAAAATTGAGCCCCCATTGGCAAAAACTGGCTATAGGCCCAAGAGCTCTATGTTTTGATTGACAATTAAAAGACTAGAGTAGTACTGAAATTGTCATAATTTCCCTCATTACTGTCAGATCTATATTGCCATGCACAATTTATTGTTTGACAGCATCCAACCCAAATTTCAAGCTTCCTTTCCTGAAACATAATGACACATTTGCTAATAGTTAAAGTTAAAGGTCCAAAGGTTCAATATGATTCTCCTGTACTCCATGGAAAACTTATTTTTAAGTTATCTATATGATACCCCTCAGTAAATACATGATCACACCCCCAAGAACAACTAGCATTCCATATTCAAAATATTCACACATGGATTTGAGTCATCATTCTGCAAAGGATAGGCCTAGTATCAACAAACCTTTAGGATTGGATTCAAGATTCAAGTCTATTTCAAGACCGCCAACTCTCGTTGGGCTATTTATCACTATTACCTCAGTTATTCATCTAGTTTTACGTACCTTAGATGCTTCTTAATCTCTGTAGATATAAATATTGTTTCCAAAATTGTTGTGATGTGTGATAATTAGGACTAAATGTACTTTGAACAGGTCAACTGAAAAGAATGCAACGGATCTGGCAAAAAGTCTTGTGAGATATTCTCGTTCTAAAGCGGGAGATTGAAACTTTCAAATAAATTCAAATTAAACAAATCAGCGTCGAGATAGAATTGATCATGTGATTTGCACATGATTGAACCATAGGTCAAAATGAGGTGAAGAGTCATCCATCGTGCCATTTGGGTTTAAGGATCTTATCAGTCCACAAAAAAACAGTGAAATCATGTTTAAAATACAACTAATACTTTAAAATTGAGGCTGATTGGAACTAGCTGTGCAAGTTACAGTCACCAAGATGAGCTAATTTGCTTGTTGATACTATCCTTCGAAGAATGATGACTCTGATCCATGTATTCGCATAACTATGAGAAGCCATAAAGGGGGAGGGGAGAGGTTAGCGGAACCATGGGCATTAATATTGAAAGCCCATGGCGGATAGTAACACTATAAATAGTAACACTTTCTTACTTTAGATGGTGCTGAAGGTCCTTGTTTATGTCTATATGTGAATAATCTGCAAAAGGCTAATAAGCCCATATAAAGCCCCTCCTTGGGAGGGGGTAACTAATATGTCTTAAAATATTTTTCAGCTGCTGTCCGACGGTTGAAAAATCCATTTATTTTCTCATTTGGCCGTATTCTTAAGTTTTTCCCCCATATATAATAAATTTGGCCCATGACCTGTCTACGTAGAATTATGTCCAATGACATTTTCTTCTTCTTAATCCTCTAAATTTCAAAATGGTGGATGATTCAAAAAAATTACATGACCGACTAGGCGAATAGGCACACATTTGACTCCAAAAAATAAGTCATGTACATTTATCTCATACCAGGACTATAGTCCTGCATCGAGCGCAATCTTTTGCCTGTACGATTACAACTTGGGAGAATTTGCTACGCCCCTTACACCTAAGATACCTACTTCAATAGATTCCTGGGTATTTTGGCATTCCAAATTCCATCACTTTCCAAGATGACGGTTGGATTAAAAAGGGGATTCCCCGTTTGACTGACTCGGAAGCACCAATAAATGGAGGAATTTGACGGTTGAAATAAGTTAAATATTACACGCAAATATTGCGATCAAAAACGAAAATTTCTTTTTCTACTGTCGGACAGAAACTGAAAAATATTTTAGTGTATGTAAGACAAAGTCACTTACCTGTATGAGCATATGAAACTGGTACTTTCCAGAGACTTATGTGTGCTGAAACTGATGAGAAGAACTTCCCGAAGGCCAGGGGCCCTATCATTGTAAAGTAATACCTCCAACTCAGGTTGCATTTTGGAACGTCTCTAATTTTTAAAAGTGGTATCAAATATAAAGATATTGAGAATAATTGTACCATTGAAACTGTCATAGGATACGGAAAATCACTAAGTAGTACTTTCCCCACAACATTGTTAGCTGAACTTACAGCATACCACGCTAAACACAGTAAAACAATCCGAATTGCATCGGAGTATCTTTTTTCTGCCATGCCAGCAGTTTCCGGTTCCTGATGCCGGGTAATACTAAATACCACCTAGGTGTCCCGCACCTAGGTGCCCCCACCTGGGGACACCTAGGTGTCCCCTAGGGCACCTGGATTTTTAGACTACTGATTAACGATGTTTTAGTTAAGGAAAATCTTTGAAACTTTACAGTAACTTAAATGGCTTTTTAAATATTCCGTTGGTTGATAAATTAATACGACTCTGACATTGTATAGCATGAAAAAAGTGTTAAAGAAGTGGGCTTCGACGAAAAAAAATAAAATGGCCGCCACTTGGGTTTACGAGTGGTCGTGTATGGTCGAAATACATAATGTTTAACGACGATATGCTCAATAAATTTGCTCAAAATACCGAAATATTATCCACAAAAGTCATGAACTAGTATTTTTTGCGAAATTATGTCGCATAATGAGGTCAATCGACGGTCATAAAGACTCATAATATATCAACTTCTGATTTATAAATTTGTAGTCACATACAGTACATGTACTGTAGACTAGAGTCATTTCCGATTCGATTATGTCAGTCACTGTGTATATTACACTCTAATTCTGTATAGAAATAGCCCATTTGTGTTGCGATTGTTCATTATAACACAGTAGCACAAGCTTTCCAATTTTATGATCGTCTCAGCCAAGACCCATTGTATCCACATGACATGAATAATCAGATAATGAGGCCTGAATGGTGACTATAATCATAGTTCAAAATATATATATATACTGTTAGAAAGACTGCACACCATTTGTCCAAATCGCAATCGACTAAATCCCACTGGATTCAGATTTGGACCGATGGAATTTGGCCTCGGATGATTCGGATTGGATATGGGTTTCAGACAATTTGGATGATTGGGATTCAGCAATTGCGATTCGGACGACTGGGATTCAGACCAGTGAGATTCGAACCAATGGGATTCAGACCATTGGGATTCAGACTAATTTCAGACCTACCCTGTCAACATAAGTGTTGCTAGTAATACTGTAGTAGGTGAGGCCAGAGATGAGGCAATATTGCCTCACCTTACAAAGCATAGTACATTTATCTAAATAAAGTCCTTGCTATTATATTATATTAGATATATTATAGAGTTCACAAAATTGGACAATGCCACATCTTTTAGTCACTTCAAATATAAAAAAACATCTGTTAGATTGAAATTGAAAAATCAGAGGTTGTGAGACTTATGTGGTTTTATAACATGGGGCCTATGGGGAATCTCCCTGAACTAGAAATCACATTTTTCCCATAGATTAAATACTCAAAGTTGATAAGCAATTTTCAAAACCATATTTCTAAAAGTGTTTTAACATGTAGATTTTAAGACTGAATTTTGACTGAATTATGAATATTTAATGACATAAATCAAAGAATTTCTACTCGCATCTAGTCTATTGTTCATCATGTATTAAGTATGGGGAATGGACAAAATATTATAAATATTGGAAAACAAATCAGAACAACATAAACAGAGTGCATATATTTTAGGACACCCTGTATGTTAAAAACTGATCAAGTGCACTATAAGATGAAATTCACAGGGAGGGATTCAACAAAATTTTAAGTGGCATGCAGTGGTTTGTTGGCCGAAACCACCATTACTCCTTCCTAAAAACGATATTGACTCAAAATCTTTTGTGTGTATAAATGAATTTTATTAGGACAACTTGTTTTCTACATTCCACATGTATTTTTAAATGATAAAAAATAATGAAATAAAACATTGAATATTTAATATTTAAACAACATAGTTTCATGTACATAATAATTAGATGTTAAAGATTAAACCAGGCTTAGTAATTGTAATTGAAGGTCAAATCTATGGTCAGATTTGAACATTTGAGAACTTATAGATGATTTTGAAAAAAGAAATTGGCCTTGAAGCAAGTTGAAAGCATACCCTTTTTGATCTTTTTTGACTTGAGAGGGTCAGTCAAGGTCAAACATAAATGTAAAGTCAGATTTGAACTTCTGAAAACTTTTAGATGATTTTGAAAAAAATTGAAGTCGGTCTAAACAGTATTTGTTAAGTTATTGGAAGTTGTAAGAATTTGTTACAGATGCTGATTTCCAACCGTCAGCCACCAACCCCTGTCAAAAAATGGAGTATGTCACCACTTTTTGGTGGTGACATAACAAAACTACAAGTCAATTATTTCACAAAGTAACAACATGATGCATCAATAGCAGTAGATCCTATTTTTATAACTATAGATACCATAGTAGTTCAAGTTTGAAATTATGCAAACTTCAAGCTTAGCTCTACAGTTCATTACAGGGACTAATGATTGTCATTCTCCCTAATCTATATGTTGGAGGAGGAGGAGGTAGTCAGACAGAGTCAGTCATAATTGCTGATACAGTCAGCTTGAAGTATATGATCCATAATACACTATATAACTCAGGATGTAGTTTGAACTACATGTATATACATGTAATCCTCAATGCAGAATACAATCCATGACGTAGTACATTCATAATAATCTCTGTTGTTATCCAGACTAACTCATTATTGATAAAGTAGTTCACTTCATATATTAACAATCCGAGTGGTTATGGTTGATCAGATGCAGCTAGATTCTCACTAAGTTTTATCTGCAGATCAAGGTACAACTGTTTCTACATAGGACCGTCCACACCTGGAATAAGGACTATGAGAGATGGCAACAGGGTATTGCTGGTGGTAGTCATAGTTGGTTGTATAAATTTCATTCACCCTGTGCCAAGGCCAGATGGAGCAAGATGTTACGGCAGCATTAAAGTGGAGAACAGTTTACCTGCGACCTTCTCATAACTCTGTATCCTGCAATTACAGTATCAAGACACAAATTATGTGTTATTCCAAACATCATCAAGTTTTTTTTACATGGGATACCCTTTTATCTCCCTATGCAATGATTACTAAGAAAGTTCATTTTTTACTGTCATTTGAAAATAATCCCCTATTAGAAATCTTATGTATGACTTATAAAGTTAAAGTTTTAATCATTGTAGTCATCTAAAAATTCATATGCCCAATGGTATATATTGATATTGTAAAATGTATACTTCTTTAAAATAGTTAATCTCTTTCTCTAGTTGAAGAAGATTAGAATTTGATAACAGAGGCATTATACAACAGCATTTGTAAACAAGTCAAGGCATTGTTTTGAGAACTATCATTGAAGAAAATATTTTATAATCCTTAGTCCTTTGAGATATTTAAAGGGTAATATGCTACATGTTAATGCAAACAATTAAGTCAAAGCATTGTTTATAAATGCTATAATGTAAGAATGTATTGTATAATCATAAGTTCTTTGAAAATTTTAATCTCTTTCTTTTTGTCAAGATGAAATAGATTTTGCTTTGATTGGATTCTTTACTGGGAAAAAGGAAAATCAAAGTTGAAAAATGTTGTTGTATTACAAGGAAAGAACATTAGAATGTCAAAAATAAAGCCAGCGAATGGTTTTGGGTTAGAGCCGTTTTTTCAGTTTTGAACATTTTACATTGAGATCAGATCCCTAAAATTGATTTTCTCTTAGTTACATCTTCTAAATTGGATATTGTTTTTGAAATTCTTTTTATAATACTTTTCTTTACTAGGAAAAGGAAAATCAAAGTTGAAAAATGAATTTTTTATTTTTGTTATATTTCACTCCAACTGCATTAGCATTCTATAGGCTACAGAGGCTCACCAAACCATCAAACGCAAATAACCGTAAAATGTTGAAATCATGAAATAATTTAGTGATTTTTTTCAAAAGAGTGCGCCATGTTGTATATTACAAGAAAAGAACATTAGAAAGTCAAAAATAAAGCCAGTGAATGATTTTGGCTAAGAGCCGTTTTTTCAGTTTTGATTATTTTACATTGAGTTCCGTAGGACCGATCCCTAAAATTGATTTTCTCTTAGTTACATCTTCCAAATTGAATATTGTTTTTGAAATTATCTTTATAATACATTTCTTTACCAGGAAAAAGGAAAATCAAAGTTGAAAAATGAATTTTTTATTTTTGTTATATTTCACTCCAACTGCACTAAAGCATTCTATAGGCTATAGAGGCTCACCAAACCATCAAACGCAAATAACCGTAAAATGTTGAAATCATGAAATAATTTAGTGATTTTTTTCAAAAGAGTGCGCCATGTTGTATATAACAAGAAAAGAACATTAGAAAGTCAAAAATAAAGCCAGTGAATGATTTTGGCTAAGAGCCGTTTTTTCAGTTTTGATTATTTTACATTGAGTTCCGTAGGACCGATCCCTAAAATTGATTTTCTCTTAGTTACATCTTCCAAATTGAATATTGTTTTTGAAATTATCTTTATAATACATTTCTTTACCAGGAAAAAGGAAAATCAAAGTTGAAAAATGAATTTTTTATTTTTGTTATATTTCACTCCAACTGCACTAAAGCATTCTATAGGCTATAGAGGCTCACCAAACCATCAAACGCAAATAAACATAAAATGTTAAAATCATGGAATAATTTAGTGATTTTTTTCTAAAGAGTGGGCCACCTTGTATATTACAAGGAAAGAACATTAGAATGTCCAAAATAAAGCCAGTGAATGATTTTGGGTAAGAGGCATTTTTTCTGTTTTGAACATTTTACATTAAGAGTTCAGTAGGACCGATCCCTAAAATTGATTTTCTTTAAGATACATCTTCCAAATTGAATATTGTTTTTGAAATTCTTTTTATAATACCTTTCTTTACCAGGAAAAAAAGAAATTAAAGTTGAAAAATGATTTTCTTTGTTTTTGTTAACTTGCTTAAGCTTGATGACATCACAATATTATATTATATCCTACCTCTAGTTATTTTTGAGACTATTGTTGCCTGGTTTTTTAAATGAGTCAGCACAAACCACTGTTCATCTTTCTTGTTTTGTGTTGTGGTGTCCAAAACATTGAATTGCTCTTCTGGCTGAAATAACAGAAAAATCAACATATCTGTTTGAAAGGGTTTTGACCACTGGATTATACTTTGACAAGTATAGTAATGATACTTTTAAGTGCATACTCACAAATTATCATTATACATATTATGTTATATTATTACAAAAGAGCTACATGTTATACACAATGACACCATGAGGCATATATCAGGATTTACAAGAGCAAAATCCAATTAGACTATAAACTTAATGAAATATTGAGGAATCTGTTCAATCAAATGAAATCCAGTATTAGAACAATTTACATACAGATGTAGATACTAGAAATTTCTTTTAGGTTATGCCTGGAACTAGTAACAATAATTATTTGAACATTAATATCAAACCTGATGACGATTCTAGTCTTGGGGAAAGCTTGGGTGGATGGAGGCAAGCTAACACTTTCACACAGCCTTTTACTATTTCAGCATCATTTGGATTGGACTTTGTACAGCACTTCGATGGCGAGTTGTAATGCTGAAAGTGAACATTGAATGATTAGGATACAAGAATACTGAATTATTAAAAAAAATGATGACTTAGAGAATGTAGATCTTATCAAGGCACTCATGAATGGAGAATCTTGACATGGAAGTGGTCGTATCTTGGTAGCAAAATGATATATAACAATATTTGAGCTTTAAAGCACTCTCATAACTGAGATGTTGAGATCGCAGGTGACACACATGTGTATAACGTTGAACTACCCTTTGCATTCGTTTGACTTCACTTCTGAAAAGAGAGCTTCATCTTCACTCTTTCATTTTACAATAAATCTCACCGAGCCAATCGAGAGTTCATCGTCCAAATACGGACGACTTTCTATATGGTCATTTCCTCTGACATCCCCGCACAGTTAATGAGCACGTACATGTATTTTGCGTGTGTTCCTTCCACTTTGCTGATTGGTTGAGAAAGGATCAGCATGGTAGATTTGAAATTATTGGGTTTACGAAAAAGACCGACCCCACCGACCACCGACCGGTCGATGTTTTCCACTGGTAGCCTCAAAACAGGGTTTGAAGAAAATGTGTAAAAGACCTACCATATCATGTAAAAGACCGAACATATTTGTAGCCTTAAAATATTAATAATTTGATTTTGAATGTCAATCGTTGGGACTAGGCAACGGTTTTTACCGATTTTGTACCTTGCAACGAATGGCAAGCAAACAAATTGGGCATGACCGTCTCCTCTCAATTAATTGTCCTGCCTTAGGTCCTAACCTATCATTAACCAACCTATCGTTTCTACGGGAATCTATCCTAATTTTTTACTGAAATTTAACAATTTCGAAACAAAAATGATTTGTTATCGTCATAGCCTACTGAATACTGAACACGATATTACATGCGTTCTCTTATCGGGATTAAAAGTGACTTGCCATTTCAGTACACCATTAGAAAGCTTTTTTTTGTCATATCAAATGTAGTTTTTACCAGTTGACGTTTGACAACTGAGAAATCAAACATAACGTTACGACGTCAACATCGACGATGTTTGTGTGTTTTTGTTATTGCGTTTCATATGAATGAACTTAATGCAATGTTACGTGCGTTTTTTTCCAAAGTGACTAAACAGGATGAAATTGGTCTTCTAACTAATCACGACCTAGTAAAGGTACTATAGTCATTGGATTCCCAGTGGTCGGCGGTCAGTGTTTTTCGTAAACCCGAAATTATTTATTACCCGGGCTGTCACAGGCACCAATCTTCGGGGCGGGGTTGCTAAACTGAAGTATACATGTAGTCTATACTAGCTGAGACTAACATTTATGTTAGTCTCAGATACAAAAGGCAGAGTGTAGTTTATAACTACACTCTGCGCGCAGGGTAACGTTGAACTGACTTGACAGCAGGATCTCTGACTTACATGTACACTGGCTGCCTAGTCTATATCCAATATCAGACTAGAGGATACAGTATTAGTCTAACTGACCAGGAACTGATATCTGGCTTTTGCTAGAGAAAATCTGTAGGATAGGGTCCTGGGTCATCTTTGACAAGACAGTTGAATCTTTAGACTTGTTGTAAACATCTCATATAAATGATATAACGATGAACACATACAACAACTTTTGGTTTTGTAATTACAAAGACCAGTGTTGGAAATGCTGATAAAAAGTTGAGAAATTTTTATTTTCCGAAAGCAACATGGCGTCAGAAAAAAGTCTCGAAAAAAATACTTTTTTCTCTCTAAAATGTCACAAAACTACTTTTATTCTTACCTCATCAAGTAAAGTACAACTCCATTCATACTCTAGTACTATTATTTGACTTATATCAAAGTCTAATCAACCAATATTTCCCTATATTCCAAGCCCCACGCCGCCACCTGAAAAGGGACACCTGGAAAGGGGCACCTAGGTGTGGGACACCTACACCTAGGTGGTATTTAGTAACACCCCTGATGCCAAATTTAGGAAAAAACGAAATCAATATAATACATCCATAATATTGAACAAATTGAAAGTAAAGAGTTTCAAATACTATGTCAACAATTTTATTACTACTTCTATTATTTTATGTCTGATATGATTGATTGATACCTTTTTTGTGACTTTTTTCATCAGATGGTTTGACAGCTAGTTTGACAACAATAGTTTGACATATAGACTTACAAAATGTCAGCGCCCATTACTTTTGATTTTTAGTCAAGTATATCTTGGCTTTACCGCAGTATGGGTTCGCATTGCGATCAAACAGTAAAAGTGGAAGTGATTAGAGGACTTCAAGACAATTATTAGGCCAAATACTTACAAATGACTTGTCCAGATGTGAAGGAAATAAAAATATTCCGAATTTTTGAAAAAAAATAAAAATGCGAAAAGTTCATGTCTTGTTTATCCTGGCAATTGTGAGTGTTCTCTACCTACTAATACAATTCTTCTTCGCCAAAGATGTTTCTCAGCATAAGCGCCAGCTATATGAGGTAAGAACTTTACATTTAGGTGTTTTGATTAGTATCGTCAGATTCTGTATATTTTGCACAGATTGGAGTCAACGTTCTTCCCAAAGTTTGACTTAAATCTAATCCAGATGGGTCATTCATCAAGCTATAGCAATCACTGCGGCGTCACAGACACTGCGACCACCGTGCGAGGTCGCAGTGACTGCGACTATTGACCTTATGCGATCAGAATTCCGGAATTTTGTTTATGGATACTGTTGTCACGTATTTCGTCTTATTGATGTGACGTCATATAGAAATGATATAAGACATGATGGAATCACAAAATGGCGGACACGTGGCAGTTTTGAGCAAAAAATATTGTTGTTTCTCTTATGAAAACCATGGGTCGGATATTTACCAGGTATGCCGATTTGACTAGATCATGAGTATATCTATATAAGTGCGAAGTTTGGGTGAAATTGATACTAAACATCAATGCCTATAAGCGCCCCCCGTTTTTGTCAAGATCGGGGGGCGCTTAACCGCTATCTAAATCATGTCAGTACGATCTTAGACTTGGTATGTGCTCAGGATGAATGTTGATCTAGTCAAATCGAACGCTTTCGTGAAAAATAAATCAACAAAGCACGAAATATAGAAGATAAACTCTCAAAACCAAGCATCTAAAGCTGGATGGCCTAATTGTGACGTCACTAAAAGATAGAATCCATTCGGTGATCGCAAATCATCAATTGCGACCTCATTAACAAATTGCAGTCTGCGATGTCCCTGTGACCAGTCGCAGTGATTACTACGTGCACGTGCTTGTACACGTGTTAGCTATCCTTTCGAGACTTGGTCATGACTCATGTGACCAGACATTCTGCCAAACCTCTAACTGACTTTTCTGTTGACCTGTTCTAAATACATTTACTCCTGATTATCCCATGTCAGAACAATCTTGAATATTGTATTTTCTATCGACATCAATTACAAAATATCTCAGGTATGTAAAACAATGGACAATTGACCTGAATAGTGCTAAATAACCCCACGAGAGTTGGTAAACTCGGGTTTTCTTTCCAATCCTCCCTGGACTTTAGTGTCAAATTTTCGAAAGAACATTGATTGAAATACGTCATATTTTGAATGCTTTTAATGTATGACCCATGTACAAGATGTTGATGGCTATCACAACAGGAAGTTCAAAGGCTTTACCTCTCAACTTATGTACTGCTCTCATTTTCATTTCAAATTTAGAAATGGATTTTCAGGGTAAAGATTAAAAGGTGGATAATGGATCGAGTTAAAGTTTATGGAAGTAAAAATGTTTTAGTATCTTCTGATTTATATATTTCCAGGTTCCAAACAAGCCTAAAAAGCCCTATGATGCAACTGATATAATATCTGAGTTGGAATCACATCCAGCTGACATAAACACTGCACATGTTTCTTATGTAAGTTTTCAAATTATTATCATCATACTAAAGGAGGTACATTGTAAATCAAAGTTCATAAATGGTCTTAACATGCAACTCTCCCATTTGTCTCTTTTGTGTTATAGACTTTCCATAATTTGAACTTTTTGTTGTGTTCTTTGTATGTTCTGTAATGTTAGACAAAAATAATTAAAATACCAAATATTTCAAAAACATTGCATAAGGCCATGGTATTACAGTAGATTTTCTACCTATCTTTTTCAGACAATCTGTCGTGTTAATGCCTTGTTATTATAATATACCTACTACAGTAATGTTTAGGAACATTCTTCTTTTGAAAGTGTCATTTTCCAGACTGACATCAAATTGTTTGTGAAGCTTTCCAAAGACCATGGACTTCACCTGTTTGTGGTGGACCCTGTCATACTTGGACAAGTTATGTCATCAAATACGTCACATGAAGACTGTAAATATTTGTGCCATAGTAAACTTGTGACATCATTTGGTGTGTTATCAACAGGATGGAAAAGTCAGGTAAGATGATTTATTGCATCGAGCTTGTGTCTTGCTCCCTCTCCCATTCTTTATTTTACAGGCTGAATGTGAAAATACATGCAGGGAGAGAAAGCTCAATACAAGACAAATTTTAAATACTATTGCAGCTGTCAAGGAATGCCTTAATGAAATAATCGCAATTCCTAGAACTTTTGGCACTTGAAATGTATATTTATCTCATTATGTGTAATATGATTCTGAATAGTTAAGATCCTTAAAAAGCATACCTCTTTATAAAATTGAATACAGTAGACAATCACTTTTTGAAATTAGAATGGTCCCATGTTATTTCTTGTTTAACATCCAAGTACTGCATCTTCATTGAAAGTAAAATATATATTCTATACATGCATCCTATGTAACTAAGTACATTTTCACTTTATCTGAATTGGAACACATTATTTTATTCCAGGGATTTAGGTTAGAGGACTTCAAAGCTAGCGGGTTTGATGTAATATCTCTAGCAAGTAATGACCCAAGGAGTAATGTAATAGACTCTCTTACTCACAAAGAAATACCATCTCACTACATGTTCTCTCGAAGTAGAACACATGTTATACATGTGGTAGTATTCCATGAACGTTCTAATTCATATCTATGGCATGCACCAATCAAGTGGTCTCTAAATGAAGTCATGGTTGTTGGGAGGTCAAAGGTCAAACTGAGTGATCTTACATTTGGTATTAATGCAGGTGCATATGACAAGTAAGCTTGATTTTTATATTACTTGACTTTATTTTTTAATTTTCAAATAACTAAACTTACTGTGTTTACAATGTTTTATTTGAGAAATTAAAATCTTAGAAAAGTTTTATGAAATGAAATTAGTCTTCCCATTGAAGTATTTACTGAAAACACTAGCAAACATTCAATATTATAATAATTAATTACATTAATTACACATTATAAAGATAATAATTTTCACACATTAAAGGTATTAGAAGGGTATATCTAGTTTAAATGTTGGAAGTAAACTTTTCAAAAATCATGTCAATCTTAACTTTACAATCCTAATTTTATTTTCTGAAATAAAAATTGAGTTATACATCTGGTCAAATAAAGAAGTTATTGAAGTTTTCAGAAAGTAAAAAATGTCAAAATTCATCGGAATTGAAAAAGGGGACATCTTTTTTAAAACCATTGACAAAATGCCTTGAGAATTAAAGTCTGTTAGACTTTTTAGAGAAAAGGCATGACAGGGTATGATTAGACCAAAATATATTGTGAATTTGTGACAATCAGAACTCATCTCTATCTCTTCTAGTTCCTTTAATTGCACCTCATAAAGATGAATTATTTTTCACAAAGGAGCACGTAAGATATGGCAAGCCATTTTCAAAGGGCTATATCTTTAATTCTAAGAATACTTTAACCACAAAAACAAATGGTTCTGTTAGATCCATGTCTTGTCTTCAATAAATGACAGTAGGATAATAATCAATTTGAATGGATTATCTCTTAAGCTGTTCCTAATCCAACCATCTTCACCAATTTTCCCTAATTCAGACGCAATTTTCACCTAAAATGCAGCATTTTATTTCAGCTTTTATGGCAAAATTACAATTTATTGTAAGGAATGATCTACCTTTAAAAAGGAAAACTTGATTACTTTGGGATTAGGATAATCCAAAAACAATAACTTTTTTTAGGCCGAATTTTTTACCTAAAAGTAGCAATTTTTTAATGAGATTAATGCACGAAAACATTGAGCTATGTCACATGATTGATTTCCAAAAAGAAATAAATGATCTAAATGAGATAAGCATTATCTGATAATCCATTTGTCATTTTTACCTCATAGGCCATGACCTTAGTGTGAAGTGTATGAAAAGATGTCACTTAGAGCGACATTTAGATGTACCCTATTTTATGCAATCATGTTTATAGATAGAGTTATATATGTTCCATAGATGGCATGATATATTCTACATGGGTGAGTGCTAGATACTCTGTGTATTCATTGTTGCATAATTGCGCATTATAGAAATGAGCATGGATATGTCAACATGACTGGGTCGTGTAAAGTATGTACAGTAAAACATAAATATGTTTAACACCTAGTAAAACACATAAGAGGAAATACTTGTTCATATATTTGAATTGTATAGTGTAAATGAATATTTGAAATATTACACATTTGCGATGTTTCAACAAACATGATTCAATACCATCTTATTTGAATTAACTCTTCCCATGTGTATCTTTCTTTATCATCAACCATATTGGGGGTTTCGAAAGTGCCTTATGTAAAGGAGTTTGCAGTAAATGATCTTTCGAATAGTGTTATATGTAGTAGGTATTGATACAGGTACCACTGTATACAGAGTACATGCAAATAATAATTTTCTCCAATGGTTTGGCCAAACATTTGTTGCATTTTTTGTTCATTTCAAATTTTATTGGATTGTTTTTGCTGATTGGAATTTTTATGGAATAAACAGTTTAATGCGTTGGGTTTTACCCTTTGACAATATGTATATGGCCTTGTGTAATTATGGCCTTGTGTAATTATGATATTGTCACGTACTCGATCACTCTATATTCTCAGTCAATACTTCGGGCTTTGTATAAAAAACCTTATACCTTGTACCCACGTGCCGGCGTACTTGGGGCATGATACATTCTTTGAAGAGTTCAATTCTAACGTTTCAGATTATTCTGATCATATGAATTGTAGGTGCATTAATGCACTTGTAGACCTACGTGTATGTCTTATAGATCCAACATTTTTCTAGTCATAAATAAGGCCAGAATTGCAAAATTGTTTACCTTTGCTATTTCGATAAAAATTGCCTAATTGAAATGCTCGTTCACTATAGAACCAATCTACACTAAAACGTGAATTTACGAATCCTGAGACTACAATTATCTTTAATTCAAACATGACCGTGCTCTAATTGAATTTCTCAACCAATCAGAATGCAGCATATCCAATATAGAACGTTCTCTAATTCTCCATAGATGCACGACCGTGCTCTATCCAAACATCCGGGAATCTACGTATTGTATTTGCATTGTGACGTCACACCTGGGAATGGCAAAAATAACAGCGAGCTCGAGTTTGGTGTATCTCATGTAGCTCCAATCCCCAATTCCTCTGAACAATGTTTTCATTTTTTATATGTTTGAATCGGAATAAATAATGATAGGCCATTCAATATGGTGAAATTCAGCACTCGTTGGACAGAATGTCAGTACAAATGCACTCACCTTCGGTTCGTGCTTTGTACGACATTCTGTCCAACTCGTGCTGAATTTCACCATATTGAATGGCCTATCATTATTTATTCCTTAATCATGCTGTGATTGAATAAAATGATACCCTGACATATTTAAAACTTATTTAGAATGGATTTTTCTCTATTGAAAAGTCCTTTGAATGGCGCTATTTTGACAATCAATGAAAATCAAAAAATTAACAATTCTGGCTTTATGTTATGACTCTGTATCTATCTATCTTTCACTAGACGAAGTTCACATCTATGGATACTATGAATGTATTTATACCTCAGATAGCATTAAAATTGAATAATCTTTTAAAACTTTAAAAATTGAACCCTTCAAAAACTGCATCACCACCCACGTACATGGGTATGAGGTACGAAGCCAATACTTCGTAAAGAAATCATGAAATAACAACATGTAGAACAAGGCATTGCCATTACAAAATGTCATCACCGTGCAGTTCAAGTCAAATCTTGAAAAGAAAATGATTATATGAAGCAAGTTGAAAAATGCCTTTTTGAACTTTTTGAACTTGAGAGGTCAAATGTCAATTTAAAAGTCAGATTTGACTTCTGAGAACTTGTAGGTGATTTTGAAAATTCGGTCAATTCGAAGCAAGTTGAAAAATACCTTTTAGACCCTCTTTACTTTGAGAAGGTCATTGAAGGTCAATTGTAAAATTTAAAGTCAGATTTGAATTTTTGAAAAATTGGTCAATTTAAGACCGTTTTCACCTTAAAGAATATGAATGTACAGTAGTAAGAAAGAGGAGTGCATTCTTGTTGTATTGTTTTTGAAGAATGGACACCGCAGCTATCTAAAACCAGTGTGGCACAAAATATGATTGACAGTGTTTGGCTCAATATTTACACCTTGACTGTCACATGCAGTGCACCGAAGCTGTTCTTATTAAACCATTTTCAATCACTCAATAGTTGAATTGTAAACACAAAATAAATACAATTTTCAATGTACCTTGCCTGATACATGCAGTGCATTGAAGCTGAACCAATCAAACCAACCCACTTCTCTACACATTTACCACATAGTTAATACAAAAGAATTTTTCTAAACTTGGATCATGGGTCAATTACCCTTCATAAGAATCAGTGTGGAGTTTAAGTTAGATAAACTATTCGAAATGGGTCATATGAGAACTAATAGCCTCAGGCCAAGGCCCTTTGCTATTATTTCTCATAAAACCCAGTAGTCATAGTTTATCCGTAACTGAATGAACGATTAGAGGATTCAGTGACCTTCTATAAAATTACAAACTGAACATGTTGTTATACCTTAGATGACTACCTGGTTGTTATTCACTAAAGGGGGTCTCATTATAGGTTGGCACATAAAAATGCCTTTGGGTTCAATGACTGCCACTTGGTTCGGGGTTGTTGCTTTTAGGGGCTGTAATTAGAAATAGAGGTTTTGGTTTTAATAAGGGATCCCAAACTTATCTTTAGGCCATAGGTCTATGTAAAAGTAGTAAAGAGTAAACTTATGCCTTCCTTCCTACTACTTTTCCCTACTGATTCCAGAAATCAATAAATGCTGTATCTAATATAACACCATTCTTGAGTCGATTTGACCTAGGATGAAGAAACTACATAGGTGACCACGGGCTTTGAAACCCCATTACAAGTATTAATAGCGAATTCAACTAACAACTGCCAGATCAACCTACTATTTTGTGGCTCATTAAATATAAATAGTACCTGCCACTATTTCATTCATATTAAAATGAATTTGCCATCAAAAGTAGGTTAAATCATCGCCTTTTACCCAACATATGACATCATAAATACTATCAAAGCGCAGTCTAATACCGAGTGAGCCAAAAATGTAGCCCAAACTAATTCCGCATCTGTTAAAATGTTATTTCGCATATAATAATAAAACCTTGTTTAATGTTCTTTCATTTTACTAAGTTTAAGTGGCCCTGCCCCAATAGTCGGGATTTTATGGCTATAAAACGAAACATGGTCCAAAATGCCAGCCTCATCTCATGACTACGGGCTATCTCTGAGATAATGTCAACCCCTACAACAAGTAGGAGAACAATTTCTGTGACCATGAACTTACAACCTCAACCGACCAGTGCAGGTCTGCCTGAAGGGACGAGGCTGAAATTTGTAGAATGGCCATAGAATTGTGACCTTGAGGAATGGACACATGAAACATGGTAAAATGCAAAAAGATTTTACATGGTAAAATTAACTAAATATGATTTCAACTCATACTGGATGAATAAGTTAATAACATTTCTTTGGATGACATTTTTGCCTCACCCTGTAATTCATTTTATTTTCACTTATTCATTTCAGCCTGCCCTAATATAACAAAGACTCTAGGTTGAATAGCCAAAACCAGGCACATGTAATTACAAAGAACTATTCAGTATATGAATAGCTATACGTGAATGACACAACTGTTTTATACACAAACAATACAAGGTTAAATACAGGATTATAATCCATAACGCTGAGTAAGTCACTATCTGAGTGTTGTAACAAACAAATTATTTATGGCACTTAGCTGCCCTCTATTTTGTAATTGTATAATATTAGTATGAAGCACTTTAAAATATCAGAAAAAAATACGAAAAAATCACGAAAAAAATATCAAAAAGTAGGTTTACAATTAACTTTTCCCCTTTACAGTTTAAATCATGTCTTAAAGTTCAATACAACTTTGCACTAAAAATTATTAAAAAGGCCTGCACTTTTGGTGAAAATTGCATCTGAATTAGGGAAAATTGGTGAGGATGGGTGGATTAGGGACAGCTTAAGAGATAATTCAATCAACTTGATTATCATCCTTATGTCATTTATTGAAGATAAGACATGGATCTAACAGAACCATTTGATTTTGTGGTTAACTTATTCTTCGAACTAAAGATATAGCCCTTTGAAAATGGCTTGCCATACCTTACGTGCTCCTTTCAATATCTTGAATTATACTTTAACATTATAGGTTTGAGGTTGTGAAGGTTTTCATGGATCACCTACAGTTGTATGCACCAAGATATCCTCTAGTCTTTTTACACCAAGTGCCATATTCTCGCTTTATTGAATGCAACCACTCCAGGGCTGACAGTTTCCATTCCAATTATGGAATCAGTTCAGATCCAGAAGCTTTCAAATTCAAATCTAATGCAAGGAAACTATTAGCTGTTGCCAAGGAGATTCTTGACCAATTGGGTATCAGATTCTGGCTGAGCAGTGGAACTTGCCTAGGTGATTATGAAACTCATTGTTGAAGTTTATTTATTGTAAGATCAATTTACCTTAATTTTCTTAATATTTATGTCACTACTACAAGTGGTGACATATTTGTCTCCAACCTTTTTTGGATATTTCTTGCAGTTGGTGTTTGGTGGTCAGTGTTCAGCATTCAGTGTCTGTAACAAAATGGCAGGTGGTGACATTTTGCATGTTAATGCCTTATTTGATTATTATTGCAGGCTTGATTTTGCACTCTGCTTAGATCTACTGCAAATATTTTCCTTGATCGATATATGATTTAAGACGTTATCCATCCCATCTCATAAAATACAGCATAACTTTCCGGAATGATTTTTGATTGACCTAACTGCTGTGCATCATGTATTTTCAGGGTGGTACAGGCAGTGTGATATAATCCCATATAGCAAGGATGTGGATATTGGGATCTGGATTAAAGATTACAAGTCTAATATGATCTCTGCATTTGAGATGAATGCTCTGCAGTTGAAACACTTATTCGGAAAGGTGAGAATTCTTTATTGTAGATATGATATCACTTGAATCGATGTATACATTGATGCAGTAAAATTGAAGATTTTTCTTAAATGTAACATGGTAAAGCTATTTTTTTCAATATGCATTATTATCCAACTGAATGAGGTTCATGGGGATATTGAGAACAAAATGCCTCCATCCATTTGTCTGTACCTATAGTTGTCTGTTTGGTCATGCATTGTCTAGTTTCAATGTCCTATGGCACCTGATGTACCTTGGTCATGAAAGTAGTAAATTATAGTTCCTCTCTTTTTACTTTAACCACATGCCTCTTATTTTCAATGTCTTGCATGAATCTTTTCCAAAATTGATTTTTTTCTTTGTTGGATAGTTGTCTCACATATATGTTGTGCTGCAGTACAATGTATTCCTCACTCTCTAAGTTGCATTGTAGCCAGGTTGGCAAATCTGCACTGTTAGGATCTCTGGAAAGAAGTATTTCAAATGAAGGGTTATGGATCTGAATTAAACATCATTTAAAACCAATGGAAAAGTTCCAATGTAGCATCAAATACCCCAACCTGTTGCTTAAGTATTTTTAGATATTTAATGCATTTTATGATACAAAATATTGAGTAGATTCAGATAGAGCAGATGTTTTTCCTTTAATCTAATTTATCTCTAGGCCAAATAAAGCACTTAAAAAAACCTTGTAGGAAATAACTTTTGATTACTGGAAATTTAAATTAATTTTTCTTTTTGGAGATTCAACTTCTCTTTTTGTCAGATCTTACCCATTTTTCGCAATGTTGCTCCTTAGATCCATTTTAGTGAACATCAATACAGAAAACTCCCCTATGACTCCTGGTTCAAAAGCTCACCTATTTTCAAAATGGTCGCTAATTTTGCCTCTGTAAATTCACTTTTGGCCCATTTCCTAGCTTTACATATAATTTCAGGTATCCTGCATTGTCATGTCACTGTAAAGAGTAGTTTAATGAAATAATTTTGTTACAAAAATCGGCTAAAAATTACCATCTGTCTCGCGAAATCCACTTTTGGACCATTTGCCTTAAAACCTCTGTCGATAGGATTCCCGTTTTAAGTTATTTTTATTCAACATCAATACAGAAAACTCCCCTATGACTAATGGTTCAAAGGCTCGCCTATTTTCAAAATGGTCACTTTCCTAGCTTTACAAATAATTTCAGGTGTCGTGCATTGTAAAGAGTAGTTGTATGAAGTAATTTTGTTACAAAAAATTGGCAAAAAATTATATCCGCTTTTTTTATTTTCTGCCATTTTAGCCATCATTCATTTTTGAGCAACACCATGTGAGCCCAGTACCCACGGTACTATTTATTATTACTTAGTTAACTTAGGTAATAAACTAAATTATGTTTTCAACCCAACATAAGTTAGGGAGATAGAGAATGCCTCTGTCCATCCGTCTGTCAGGGAATTGACTCAAATCCCATTGATCTTATATTTACACATATGCATATACCTGCACATAAATCTATATGCTCACTCGTCTAGATATTGATATCAACACTGTCCCTGTACGCAAGGCAATTGTGTATAATTTTTAATCTACTTTTCAGGTAGAGGACAGCTTTGAGTTGTCCTTTCAGCAGGGTGGTCTTAAGCTGGATGTCTTTTTCTTCTACACAGAATCTGATTACATGTGGAATGGTGGGACACAGGCCAAGACTGGCAACAAATATAAGTAAGTCCATAATCAATAGCATCAGTAGCAGGGAATCAATGATACGAAAAATTCAGAAACCCAACATTATTCAGATTGTAAAGTTTTGATTATTTTTGAATCCCTGTAATATCTTTATTAATTATTTCTCCACAAGCGACTATATAACCAGCACATTCCCAGCAAGTAAAACTGAAACCCATACCCACATTGAGACATACATGTATACGGTACATGTTATCAGGTCATGTGAATGGTCTTACTTGTATTTCAGGTACATTTTTCCAAAGTTTGACCTTTGTTGGACGGAGCTACTTGACTTGAAAGTGAGGGTTCCATGTCAGACAGAATCATACATACAAGCTAACTATGGAAAGAATTGGATTGTTCCAGTAAAGGAATGGGACTGGAAGAAAAGTCCTCCAAATGTTCGGGAAAATGGACGGTGGTCAACAAAGGAATGGGACAAAGTGATTCAGCTATATGAGATTAATAAAAATGAGTGATACGCGTTATGATATATTTTAATCAGACTATTCTGATTAGATGAGGGATCTATCTATTTAAAGAGCCTAGGTGAATCTCTCTCAAAGCTAAATCAGCTTTTGAAAAGGGCAGGATGTGACTCATGTAGTCATTAGACATGCTAGTTAGAGGGAATACAATAAAAGAGAATGGTGCCAAACCAGACAATCATGTCAAATTGTTGCAATATCCCAAAATAATATGATGAAGTAAAGTTCCAATCTCTACACAATATATGTATTATATTATGTATGTTGTATTGTAGTCTTACATTCAGTGTCGCACATTATTGTAGTCTTACATACAGTGTGGCACATTATTGTGCTCTTGTTAAATTGTACTGTCAAGGGCAGTATGGCTGGCTGTGTTGGCTAACAATGTGTCTGATATTACTGTGAGACCTACTTTCTGCCATCCAACAAAGGCAAATTCTATTTCTTGTTTGCAAGCATTAAAAAGCTTCAAAGCGATGGGAATCAGAATGTATGGACCATGATAGGCCAATAATGTATGCATTCTTAGGCCTTCCCTTACATAGCATCGTGAAAAATGTCATGCAAATATACCGTGTAAGTGGTAATCTTGCCTAATCATTTAATCTGCCTATTGCCTAATTTTTGTCAGGTTCAGAAAATTGAAGTCTGAAATATTATCTTTATAATGATCCAATGGGAAGTTTCTTGTCATTGGGAAAATTAAAATTAGGAAAAGGATAAAATTTGAACATTTGGCAAATTAACCACTCAGATTAAATACCACTTGTACAGTATATATTTATATAACACTTTAACCTTTAAAAACCATGGTAGTGCAATAGATTATTTATGACATTCCTGTTGTGAAGTTTATTCATAAACACATACAGTATTCAATTGAAACATTGCAATTTCATGATGTCACCACATATGGGCAGATAGGACATATACATGTACACGCCATCATTTTACATTTACAATGTATTTGTACCATGTTGGGCTTTGTCAGTGTTTAGACTTCTGAAATAATTGAAATATTTTAAGCCAGCAAAGTATGAATTCAGTGCCAATTTATTTTTTGTTTTTGTACATTTTTAAAGTTAAAGTTAGTTTTATTTTGTTCTAGCAACCGTTTTTTATGTATTAACATTAGCAACTGTAACAAAAGGGTTACATTTTTGTAATTGCAATCAGATCACTGACATTTGTAATGTTATGTAACTGTAGATAATTGTAAATGTATTATGTTTTATGTAAATATGATTTTATATTATTTATAGGTGTGTTTTGTATGTCAAGATAGACATAAACTATCTCTTTACATATTACATATTATGAATCATTTTTATATTGATTTAACTGAAATAGTATTCAAGGAAATACAAAGCAAAAATATAATACTAGTAATTTTTTGTTGTACCTTGTATCTTAAAGTTATCCCTCCCCTACCTATCCTCACTGTGAAAAAACCCAAAATAAATAACATCATATCTTACTCGGTTGGAGTGATGGATGCCCAGGAGGGTAGAATGTAGAAACAAAACACCCAGCAATATCATGTTTCATACCACCAGAAGTTGTAGTCTCCAGCTTTTTTTGTGGACTGAAGTTGGCAGTTGGTGTTTGGCAGTTGACATCTGTAACAAATGGCAGGTGGTGACATTTTGCATGGAAAATGCCTTGATATTTGATAGACCAGCCACCAAGTTTTTAGCTAATTTTTTTTGCCTCTGATTTTTTGCATAGAGAATAAGTGCAAAAATATGAGACAATCGATGTAATATATATCACAGCCTCACAGACAGCCCTGTGATTCAGAAGTCATCTATACATGTAACATATCAAAATGGAGTAATGCTAAGTTCTAAAGTGTGAGTGAAAATCCCCCTCCCCCTATTGCTTGAAATACTGTGCTTGAAATGAAACCGAAAATTTTCAACATTTATTGATATCGTTTGAAACAGAAACACTGGAAGAGACTGAGTAATCTATGATCTTTTGAAATGATCAAAACTTGATGTTTGTGATAAGTTTCATTTTCGCAGTTATGTGTAGTCCATGTGACACCCGAGGCTTTCAATTGTGGAACAGAAGATCAAAGGTAATTTTGAGATTTTCTCTAAATCTTTCTCTCAGGAACAGTTAAAATGACAAACATGTCTCAGCACATCTCATACATGTTCACTGTATTATGATAAACAGGGCTTAATGGATATATTCTCCTGGCTTTCATTGCCTCTGTCTATGATATAACTGAAAGGAGTATGGGAATTTAGAGTGGCCTTATTTTGTTGAAAACCATGAACCTTACATTTGTACAAGTCCATGATCTGTGAATTTAAACAGTTTTTACTTTACCATCATTTATTCACACACAGTCAATGTTTTACACTAGGAGCTTCTAATAATTTCATTGAAAATCAACAAAAACACATTAAATTTAAATATTGTACCATGCTATATTCATTTTACAGATTTACATCATGTAATTCCCTCCTTATTTTCAGTTTTTCTTACTACTGTTACACAAACATTTTGATTTTCTTCTTTTGTTTTTAAAACTAATTAATAAAAATGTGATCATGAACAGAAAATATTTGAATAGTACTGTGTAAAGTATACCTATCACTCCAATATTACATAAATTATGTTAATAAGTGTTTAAAACAAACAAATTGTTTGAGATAATTTGTAACCCAAACAAATTGTTTGTTTCATACATGATATCACAATTTACTTGACAATTTTAAAAGTTTAAATGGCTTGATTTGTTTATTAATATTGAGTACAGTGAAATACACTTTGAATACTATTTAAAGCTATGTTGAATCCTTATCATCTAATTTTTTGTTCTATTAATGCTCATGAAAAAGTCAAGAAGATCTAAACTGTAACTGATCTCTCAAAATACTAAAATGTAATACTGTATAGCACACAAAATTGGTTTTACTACATTACAAAAATATTATATCATAATACAAGTAAATGAACTGAAGTAAGTTTTGAAGTTTATATTTCAACATTTCTCAATAATTATAGCCTTGCCCAAGTCGGTCTCTTTTACTTATATTGATTTCTATTATGACAGCCTACAAGGCGGTAATAATTCAAGATCAGATAAGTAAAAAAATACCGACTTGGGCAAGGCTACAATAATTACTGTAATCGCATTTATTCAGAATTATAACACAATGCTACATATTATGATTCCTCCAACAACAATTTATTGTAGTAAGAATTATTCATTTACTGAATGAAGGAATGTGCACATACTTTAAACAAAATGTCACCACCTATCATTTGTTGCAGATGCAAAACACTAACCACTAGACACTGTCCACATAAGAGTTGGAGACCATAAGATTATGTCATCACTCGTGGTGGTGACATAATTATATGCTGTACAAGTTCAATTCATATAATCATTCTCCATTTTGCTATATGCTTGTAAAAATAGTTCAAATATGTTTATTCTATATCCATGTCTTAAACATGAACTTTTTATTTAATGCAGTTCAAGAGATACTCAATGAGATAATGTTGAACATTTCATTATTTTATCCTAGCCTTAAACTCAAAAACAATGTTATGGACATACCCTCTTTACGGCATATACATGTCGACCAGATTTAATAAGTGATATCCTGAGTAAGGTGTGCATATGACTTAATATGTATATGTACGAAGCAATCATAAAACCAGTGTATATCCCACAAACAATGTTTCATTGATGTATGAATACACCAGTGCAGTAGACAGGTAGATATGCCTAGTATTCTATACTGGAATTCATTTACTGATTGTGCTAAAAGTACCATATATACAATCTCATGTATTAGGTAATAATACACCTGTCATGTACACCAGAGATGCTGATATATTTGTTTGTGTATGGAATCACTCTACAATGAACTGGGCTGGTAATTAAAGCAATGAGGACCATGAATATCATAATCCAATTGACATGACACTCAATCTCAATATTTCGACATCTTAATTGTCAGTCTTAAGCAACCATGATTTTTAAAAAACTGAAATTAGTGTACAACTAATTCAAGATGTTTAGAACTTATTGTGACTTGTATGTAATTGTGATTCTAAATAAAATAACTTTACAAACATTAATGACAAGATGATTGAATATTTGGTTAACTGCACAGCAACAAGAGATGACTACAATTGAATACACTAAAATCAATATCTAAATAGGTTAACAATTGATTAATTAGACAACTTCATTCTTCAGACAACTTTTATTCTATTGTCCCATTTACACCATTCTATTCACTGATATCCCTTTACTTTCTATACTACCTTGTTTAAAGCCATATGAATAGGTCTTCCATAATTATCAGGTAGTCCATTTATTCAGAATCATATAACAATAGTATACTGGTATAGTCCCTCTCTATCCACTATATATATACAATGAATCCATTGAGATAAATTTGTACTATGTCCATATTCATCAATCATCCTTTGTAAAAAATTGTTTCACTTCACTGAACACCTGGAAACAGACCCAAAACAGTTTAGACATATGCATTACACATAGCACGTGTTTTAGTTTTACATTACCTACCCCCTCCCTCACAAAAATATTTATTTATTGCCTTTTTACTGATTTTTCAAATACCATATGTTACTTCTTTTAAAAATCAATGTCTGCCAACAAAACATGTAATTATTTTTGTTTGTGCATATTGATATACACATATATTGACCTCTTCTGTTATCTGTTCATTGTGAAAAATGCTACAGTAGATCTACTCACATTTTCAGGAGATTTAGATGCATCCACTGTTCTCACCATTTTCATTTTGTCATAGTGGTCTATGATAGGCCTTGTGCAATTGTTGTATGTAACAATTCTGAAATCATAGCATAAAACAACATCCTTAGCGGGACAAATAATGCTAAACATTGCATGAGGTTTTTTTAGCTAAAATTTATGTCAAAAAATGAAGAGTTGATATTTGTTAGTAAAATGTCATGCTCTGATTCCTTCCCAAAATAAGATTTTCCCTCCAGGTGATATAAAAATTTGTGAAAATGAAGCATCTTCCTACCGTTTTTTCATACTCTCCACATTGTCGTCTGATCGTCCACTTCCCTGTTGTCCTCTTTTAAGGCATCTCTCTACACATATCTACAACATAAGAGATAAGTCCTTTTAATTAATTTTATAATTGAAAAAACAGAAAAATTTGTAAATCAATTCAACTACCGGAGTAGGTCAAAAATTCATGATTCTGAGAAGCAATCTACCCTTTCCTTGCATGACTGTCATTTATAATTAAAATATAATATTATTGATAAATATATTACACTTATATATTAGGCATTATTTTGAAATTTCTCAATACACATGGCAGATAGACTCATGTGCAATTTACATGCGATAGATGCTGCATGAAAAAATGTCGGCAAAAATTGAACTGCCCCACACTGTTTTTGCAGTTCATTGAAAATTTGACATTTCACAAACTGACAATGTGAATCTCACCTCTTCCGGACAATCAAAGAAAAGTACGAATTTGAGATTTATTTTATCACTCATGGTTCTGTTCCAGCCAGCTAGATTATCTTCATTACGGGGAAAGCCATCTATGAGGAAGTTATTTGAACTGTTTTGCTGCATAGCCTGCAAACAAATCAATGTCAATTCAAAATCTACATTTTCTGACAAACGACTAACAAAGGTTGTGTTGAGTGATCCATGGTTTTAAATACATTATATTTCATGAACAAAATGATCAATACGTGAATAACATGTTTTACTCAGTCTGAGATAATCCATAGATCAACAGCTCATATTTGGACCTTCATGAGACCATGAATCAGAGATTCATTTACTATTTGATTAATTTTGCATATTCCAGTAAGTATTTCCACAAAAGAAAGATCTTTCTGAAATAAAAAATGTCTTAATAATTGCTATATATGAGTGAAACAAAGATATTTAATTACTGTCAATAACCTAGCTTTGAAGTGCAAGAAATTGGATTCATCAACAACATCTTACCTGGTCCAGCAGGCCACATGTGATTTCTACTGGCACAATTGTGCCATTTGTGATGTGCATTTCTATTTCTTCGCCTACTTTAGAGCCTTCCCTTTTACGTTCTGCTCTTAATAAATCACCAGCTGATAAATGGACATAACCAAACTCCTGAAAGTTAATAACATATTTTTAATTCATTTAAATAAAAATAATGTAAAAATTTCATTTAATTTTAAGATAGTAGCCACTCTATATCAAAATAGAAAGATAAACATTTTTTGCATATTTACATGACAGTATAGTAATAGGCTCATGGTACAAAAGTTCATGGTTTGCAATATCAAAAGCTCGAGAACAATATCCAATGATTTTGATACTACATGTATATTATACAGGGTGTCAAATGGCGTTGTGCCCCCCTTCCACAGCATAAACTTAGAAAGGTACCTACACATTATGTATGTCATTGGAAAGAGCATTCAATTCTGGATAAAATAAACCCTAGATGACCTAGGTCGGATATTGCTAAATAGTGTCACATGCATTTGAAATGTACTAGTGTAGTACTCTATTTCATTGATTTTTGAGAATCTGGCATAGACTTTTTTGGTATTGATGAATGCCCGAGCAACAGCCGTGACCTGAATGCTGCAGAGCACATGGGGTCCATATTAATGGATAAAACAGAGCAACTTATGGACACTGAAGCTGCAGAGAACAGATATTCCAAAGATGCCCTGCTCAAGAACCTCCGAAAAGTATTAAAATCTCTTGAGAAAGACACAGCCCTTTTCCATTCCCTTTTAGCTTCATATCCGGCTAGATTGGTAGCGGTTAAGGCTGCCCAAGGGGGTCATACTCACTTTTAAAAGTAAGTTAAAAATATATCTTATTTTCCATCATGCATCTTCATCTTTTCACATGTTAACAACAATTAAATGCTCTTTCCAATGGTATATGATATGTGTGTGTACCTTTCCTAGTTTATGCCGTGGAGGGGGGTCACAACGCCATTTGACACCCTGTATATTATACAGTACATGTAGGTCTTATGTCAATTTTCCCTCCATCTTTTAACCCCCAGTGGCTGAGACAAGGGGTGTAGGGTTGGGGGGGGGGGCACAGAGTATTGAAGCAAGACTAATATATTATGTAGATTCAAGTGTTTTTGATAGTACATGTATAAACTGTGACATAGAAATTCTTGACATTTATAGATAACTAAAAACGTGGTATCAATCAAATAAAAGTATGATTTTATGTCTTTAAATACTACATCTTGTATTTTCTACTGCTTCCTTCTGGATTGTACCTGGCATTAACGTGTAGCTAATATTTACCTTTAGTATTAAATCACATTGGGTTCCCTTCCCAGCTCCTGGACCTCCTAATACAAACACAACATTTGGCTTTGCCATTTTCACCACTCGACTCAAACCCCTTTGTAAAATCCTTGTTAGACCAAATACCATACACAAATCTTAGACTTCAGCTTTGTGTGTTTTTATGATGAATTTATACTGTTCTTGCTAAACCTGAAAATATAAAATAACATGTTCTTTAGAACAACATTACATACAGTAGAGTATAAGACTAGAGTACAATTATCAAGGAAGGATGACAAGCGAGTCACATTCACAACCATCTATTCTTTATAAACCTAAATTTCTTCTGTAAGAGGTATATGATAGATAGAGCTGACTGTGATGCGAGCAGAAATAATCTTGATCTTCATAATTTTATATTCATAATTCAGTCATACTGAAATCTACAAACAAACAAAAAATGTGGGTTCATCAACTTTGACATTTTAATTTTATTTGAAAATTTATGTGATTTCTAAGATGCTTTACGTGCCATTCACAGTTCATATTTATTTTTTAAGTGCAACAGGTGTTTATTATCTATGTTCCTTTCTTTTTTATAATGTTATCTAGCAATAGTTTTGAACCATAAACAAATTGGGACATTTCTGAATCTTAACCTTTGATAACTTCAATATTTGATCTTAGTGTCTCGATTCCTCTTCATTGAAGTTCCCATTAATTTATAAATCCACAAAAACATTAATCTAGTAAAGGAGAAGGAGATAATTACCATGGTTCAAAATTGAACTCATGATTTGTCATTGATTTTTACCAGTTTTTATCTGAATACCTCACCTAGATGTGAAGTTTTCATCACTTTAAGTCATTCCATACTTTTTTCTTTATCTTGATGTATAATAAATAACAAGTTATAGTAATTTTTGCTAAATATGCAAGAAATAAAGCATTTTAACAAAATTTTCAATTTGGCGTTTTCAAGGATGATTGGTTCCCAGAGTTCCAAGCCAATTCTCCAAGCAGAGCATTCAGAGCTATTGTACCTTAATACTTCTGAGGTAAGAAATGCACCGAAGGAACTGCAATGGAGAATGGCTGATTCTCCAGCCACAATAGCTTGTTCAAAACAACAACCAGGGAATGATCAGTGTAATTTCCTGGCAACATACAGTAGCTTGCTATAAATTCATAAAAGCAATCCAAAAGATTTGAACTAATGTTTTGATCACTTGTCGGTTTTTTAAAATATTTCACTGGGTCATAAGACCAAAATTCACTCTAGCAATTCTGAAGAGAAAACTGGCGGTGGTTTAATTTCATAATCATGACATACGAGGTCATGACATCCTTGACATCAATCCTAGTTCAAATGTGACATTTTGTTTCCATTAGCTAATCAATAAATGTCATTTGACCGATCAGTGATGTCCATCCATGATATGATTTGATTGACATGATCATAGCTAAGTTAAACAAGTTAAACCCAATATACGGCTTTCCTTATAATCTGAATTTTCCTGGAGCCGTTATTGGGTTTAACTTCCTTGGCAAATTCTGGATCGATTGGAATAAATTTTCCTCAATAATGTGAGACAGATACTTGAAAATGTGAAAACACCCTGAAAACACATGAAGAGAGCAATCCAAAGAGGGCATAGTGAACAGAAGCAACCCTCGCTTATATATGGTTATTTTGAGAACTTCTCATTATCCGTGACAGAGGGGACCTGCGTTTTTTGAGTCAATCTTTCATTCTTTCATGGATTTCTTCCATTGTGGTGAGGAGACTCTGAGGAAAGAAGAACTTTAAGTACTCCGGGCAATGAGAATGAAAAGCTACAGGTTTCCAGTGCAAGCTTACACAGTCAGTATACAGTTAGCCAAAATCAAGTACCCAACAAGCCCAAATCATTAGTCTCTGCCCCAAATCATAACCGCATACCGACTGTGACAAGAGGAGGGAAAGTCCCAGAGATTAGAGATAAAAGACATAGCGTCTCTTGATAAACACCTTCATTTATTTGAATTTTCAACGGCTAGTATCAAAATACTACGCTTTGATGTGATATTTTAATTGTTGTGGGCATATTCCATACATCTTTCCTTATCTAATGTTAAATGAGATGGTATGATATTGGTTAACACGGAAAATGAACATAATCATGGGCTTTCAACTAATTGAAAGCCCATGACATAATATTATTCAAGGTGAATTTCGAAAATTTTGAGGCCGCCATTTTTGTTAGTCTTTTTACCAATCAGAGCCATAGGTCGTCTCAAGAGTCAATACAGGTTGACACTATAAGCGTAGGTCATTGAACTCTGGGGTTAATCCCCCTGGCCCTGGACTGTGAGCTATAGTGGGGAACATAAAGAATTACTATACATGTAGCTACGAAAAATACATGCTGTCGCACATGTAATAAATTCTTACCTCAGTGTATTCAGTACGTGCTCTATTTTCTCCTTCCTAGTAAGTTCAAATATAGTGGCATTTGTGTCAAAAATGACAAAAAGGAACTTAAAAATTTGAAGTGGATATTCACATATTAATGCCGACTCTTCACATGTTGAGGTGATTTTGGAGCCCGATTACACATAAAGGAGGATTGGCTACCAGAATGCAACATGACAAGTGCCAGTTTTCAAAATGCTGTTCCGCCATTTTGAAACCTGTCACGAGTAAATAAGGTTAACTGATGTTGCATTCTGGGAGTCAATCCGCCTTAGATCACAAACATGGCGATTCATGAAAACATTTGTTTGATTTGGTAGGAATTTATCCATCATTTGCAGGTATGAAGCTTAGGATTCATTTATTGTGCTACTTAGTGAACGGGAATTATTTTTCTACTACTTGGGAGAGTTTGAGACACGAAACTTAGAATTCAGCTCATTGTGACAACTTTTGATGGTTGAGGTTTATAATGAGGGGCCCCTATATAACGTCTCCCACTTCATAATGTCCATGGGCGTAGCGCCATTTTTCTAAGTAGTACGCCACCACCACAGGAACAAGAGTTGAGTGAATCAAAAACAGCATACAAGGGGGTCTGGGGGTTCTCCCAGCGTACTGGGCGCTACGCCCATGATGTCAGATTACATTTACACCAATTCGAAGAAAAATTCATTCCATCAGTATAAAGGACCACCAGAAAAGCAACTGACGACACTTCAAGGAAAAATTATAAATACGACTTCTCGATCTCCACTAGACTGCTCGATCTCCACTGGCTTCTTGAAGTTAATGAGCCTAGCTCAAATATTATTGCAAAATTCACAACTTGAAATTCAAATCATGGTAAAAAATGCTCCATGCCAAATTTCAAAACTACAGTTACAACACCGATTATCTGATCCCAAAATCTGTACAATTTTGATAACATTGCATTAAAAGTATACACTATAATATTTGCAATATATTTAAATAATTTAGAATATTATAAAACGAGGAATAAATACATAAACATCAAACTTTACCTAAACACAACAACACGTCGGTGCTTTGTAACCTCAAAGTACACATGTGACTCGAAAGCAATTTCAATTAGCTCATTTCCGACTAGAGTTCAAAAGATGGCGCCAAAGTAAACAAGTATTAATACAGACTTTACAGGGTGGTCCAAAAAGTGAACCCTTGCAACAAACTATATCTCAGTTTTTACCCGCATAAATGTGCTAATATTCTCACATATCTCACTCGAAAGATATTAAGCAATAATACATCTACAATATTAGGTATAAAATTGGCATATTCCAAGTTCAGGTGTGCCCTGCCCGGTTCCCTTTTGTTTGAGACAGAAGACTGAATCAATGAATTATTATTGGCAGATAATATGGATATTATTGCAAATAGCAATAAATTTGATAATTTCAATATTACTACTAAAAGCGATAAATTAATATAATCTGCTATAGGCCCGTAACCATGATTTACCAATGGGGAGCTATTGCCAAGAGGGGTGGGGAGGGGAGCTTTTTGACAGTTTTGGCAAAAAAAAATCATGCGAAAAGTGCTCAGAATGGTGAAAAACTGCATGATTCTAAATGAATTTCCTGGGGGGGGGGGGGAGTGGAGGGAGTGGCTGCTCCCCCCTTGCTACAGTCTGTGCTAATGTTATACTTTCAAGTGTACCCTGTTCTTCAAGAAACATATTATTTTAGAGCGATAATAGCAAGGTTATTAGATATTATCTGCTCATGTCAATTTCGAGTGTGCCCTGTTCTTATTAACAAATACCCCGGAACAAAATTTATTTAGCAATAGTTTTGATAGTGATGATATTATCACTATTAGCGATAATGTTGAAATAATAAAGGCTTCAGTCAAATTCAGATTTAGACAAAAGCAGAATAAATGACACTTTGATCAAATTTTGATAAAAACATCCCATCGAAATAACAGTGGCTGACAATAATTGGCAAGTAAATGTGACATTTTGCATAAAGGTCATTTCAATATTTTATGAATTATCTTTTTGCTTCATATCAACAATGTTTCTAAAGGGAAACATAAATAAGAAAGCTTGCATTTCAACACTGTCATTCTATGGTAAAATGTGAATAGCGATCTTTTAACAACCAATTTATAATCAGTTATGATCAATGTCAGGGTCTTCAAGTAGCAAAGCTCATGAAATTCATGCATGTCACCACCTTATTGCTCACAATATTATGAATCTTTTTTGACCTTGAGAAGGTCATTGAAGGTCAAATCTCAAATCTAAAGTCAGATTTGAATTTCTGAGAACTTGTAGACGATTTCGAAAAAAATTTGGTCAATTTGAAGCAAGTTGAAAAAATACCCTTTCAAACTTTTTTGACCTTGAGAAGGTCATTGAAGGTCAAATCTCAAATCTATAGTCAGATTTGAACTTATGAGAACTCATGAATGATTTTATAAAAAAAGTTGAAAAAACCTTTTTGACCTTTTCTTGACCATGAAATGATCAATGAAGGTCAAATCTTAAATCTAATGTCAGATTTGAACTTGTGAAAACTTAAAAATGATTTTGAAAAAAATTGAAGTCAGTCGAAACAGTATTTGTTAGTAGATATTGGACATTGTAAGAATTTGTTACAGACGCCAAAAAACGTAGACCATAACAATATGTCACCACTTTTTGGTGGTGACATATAAATCATTTTATGATTGTAGCAAGAAACTCTCAAGCATACATTGGCTTTGATTCTCCTATAATTTCTCTGTACTTGTGAAGAAGTATAAAAGAACAGTAAAAACAGAGTAAGACAACACACATATTTATTGATAAATACTATGTCAATCAACAACACAAAAAATGAAATATAGAGGTCATGGGGGTTTCAAGACTCCCACATATTCATCAATTTTTATACTGACATGTGTGCTTGTGTGTGTGGTGGGTAACACATTAAATAACTGCTCTGCAAACATATAAACACAATACTTTATGTTAAACATGATGTTAATGAATAAAAGTCAATGGTCCATAAATTATAGTATTTTTAGCATACAGGTTCCAACTTCATTTTTAAAGAGGAGATGGAAAATCAAATCAAAGTTTTTTTTGCATTTCAGGACCACAGTGAAATAATATTTACCTTATTTTTCAGCTTCATTTCACTGACCTTTTTTATGCAAATTTTTGTACATATTTCATATAAAGTTATAAAACTGTAAGAAAAGACATAGATATGCCAAACAGCTTCAATAATAAATAATTTTAGTCTCCACATTCACTAATAAGCGGGATTTCATTGAACAAACTATGGTGTCATGAGATCTGATAAGAACATGTTGATATGTGACAGTTCTTTGTAAGTGGATTATAGCAGACAAACAATGTAATAGTAAAATATCATCACTTTTAACAATCTTAGATCTTTGTCAACAGACATATATGGCATGAGAATATATGGCCGTTTTTATCCAACAAAATGACATACATACAT